AGCGGAGACGGTTCCGCAATTGGCGGAGCCGAACAGAGCGGAGCTAACGGGGTTAAGACATTAGCCGACTGAATATTACTGACGAGTCGGTTCGCGGGGTTAGCGGAAAGGCAGGCGTTAACCCAGAAACGGAAAGGAGGGATAGGCCCAAAGGTGGGCTCTGCAGGGCAGGCGAGTGTATTGCCCAGCGGAGGCGGGGGTGCGCTAGCGGACGTCGGAGCTGTCCGGAAGTCTTCGGGGCTCTGTACTTAGGGAGGCGTAGGTAATAAATTGAAATGAGGGGGTGGTGACCATCGAGGGACGCCGAGAGGATTGCGGGATACGGGGGCTCCGAGGTTAGTGAGGGAGGAGCGGAGTTGGATCGGAGGGATCGGAGGGACCGGAAGTCGATGGCCGGGGATGGATATGACATACTGGCAGGCCCGATATGGGACAGCTGTCCCTGGCCACTCAGACTGAAGTGGAAAAGGTGAATTGTTATTGAAAGGGAAAACTACACTAACTTACCTGAAGTGGAAAAGGCGAGAAGAAGGTTACTTCTTCAGTTCCCACTTCAGGTACATTTATGTACATGCGGCTTGAGTCACATGACGGATGCCACATCATCCTCGGAGACAACTGCAGCCATCTGGGTGTCCCTGTGGGGGATCCCAAGGGCATCCGGTGCAGGCATGCATGCTGGGCACAGCGGGGAGCCATCTGGGGAGTCTGGGTCGGGTGGGTCAATAGTACATTGATGCAAAGGAAAGTGGTCCGTGTAAATAGAAAGAATAAACAGGAGGGGAATGATGGGAAGAATGAAATAAAGAAAAGAGAAGAGAGAGAGAAGAAAGAAAGAAAGAGGAGGGAAGGAGGGAGGGGAAGGATGGGCAGCAGGGCAGCGGGTGAGGTGTGGCCAGGTGGACCTGGGTGGGCCTGGGTCAGGCAGGTGTGCCCTGACAGAAGGATTTGTTGAAGAAAGCTTGGGGGGCCATCCCAAGGAACAGAGTCCCCTGAAGGAGTGCTCCCAATGTATAGCATGGAACTGGTGGTGTTATAAAAATGGGGCCTAATTGGCCCATTTCTATAGCGTCCGGGTGCAGGAGGGGGCCGTGACATTGAGAAGATGTTACAATTAATGTAACAGATGTTGTAACAGTGGGGTTTACAATAACATAGACATCGGGTGTTTTGGGTGATAATAGTTGGTTAGGTTGTTATTATTTTCATGTCACGTGATATTGTACTGCATAGAGCCCATAAGAGGCTAAAAATGGGAAAATCCCATTTCCATAACAGGTGGGGTCAAAGCCAAGGAAACCTCATGTATTGTTGAATGAACGTTGAGGTTGGCCCAAGTCCAGGGAGAAAGTCCAGGACCACTCATCTGGGTTCAAGGGGAGAAACATCCCAAACCCACCATCGAAAGGAATGAGGAGGCAGAAATCAAGACAGTGGAGAGGAATGCGAATCACATACTCAGTAGATGTGGCTGGTGCAACAAATTCATCTGCCTCGATCTGTATCTTCTTTCCAGTGATCACCTTAAGAAACCCAAAGGATTGCCTGCATTATGGAGTGCTTTGAGGTAACAGAGTTTGATTGGAATCCTTGGCAGTCAATGAAACTTGTTGTGATCAGGTGTTATGGAAATGGGAAATTTCCCAATTTAGACTCTTATGGGCCCTGCACACACCCAAATCACATGATATGTAAAGAAATAGAGGTTATCCAACTATTACCATTGAAAACCCATTTGTTAAACTATCTGTTAAACTCCATGTTACAACATCTATAACAACATCTGTAACTTCTTATGAACCCTCTTCCCCAACCTTTCCCCTTTCCTGTGCCTCGAACGGACGAAAATGGGCGCCTCCGGCCCCATTTTTGTAACATCAGGGGTGGGATGCAAAGCGCTGGCAATGAGCACCTGGTGAATATGCTGCTGAGAGAGTGAGTCCTCTTTGATCAGACTGGGGTACAGGTTATCAAGGTCAATGAGGATCTGGTCTGACTCTTCATCATTCAGGGAGAGGTTGAATAGACTTGATTCGACAGAAGATCTGGGGCTGAAGATGTGGGACATGGTGGTGCTGATGGGCTGTGTTGGTTACCCAATCAGTGCTAAGGTTGAATGTGTGGGATATTTTCCTAATAAGGAAATTAGACCAGGCAAAAGATAGTGGCAATTATGTCACATTCCCCCCAGAGTTGCAAGTAGAAGAGGCTAATTTCACCCCAATGAGGAGTCCCTGATCAGGACATGTTCAACTCCTGCCAGGGGAGCCACAGAATTATGCCCAGATCAGAAGTTTCTGATCTGGGTGTGTTTGACACTTACAGCTGGGGAGTCAGTTATGCTGTTCTATTTGTTCTTTCTTTGGCAGCTGGGGAATCACTCAGTTACGCCCAGATGGGAAATTTCTGATAAGGGCATTGCAAGTGGGGGGAAAAGCCAAGGGGGTCAGGAACTGGATAGGCACTGGATAGGCACTGGGAATGTGGCACAGCGGCACACCAGCCTACCACCACCACCACCTAACAGCTAACACACCATGCCTACTCCCATCCAGCAGGATGAGAAAGAAAAAGGGGGGCCAGCAAGTGGCTTCCTGGATGGAAATCAAGACTGGACCTGAAACTCAACTGGACTTGGTGCCCATATCCCTGAGGACACTCTGAGGCTGCCTTGCCTCCCTCAAGACTGCTGAATTAGTAACAGAGATTTTCCCCTCTGCTACATTTAGATCTGGTCACCAAGCGGGGGTGTGGCTGAATGTAACTAGCCCACATTATATACAAACAACCATAGAAAACACAATGTCACAAACAACACACTATAAAACAATAGAAAGGGGCCTCAGAAAACCCAACCTGCATCTCCAGCCTAAACCACTGCACTCCCTCAACAAATCCACAACTGACACCCTCTCATCTTTGTGGGTTCCTCACTGATCTTCCTTGCATAACATGCATTGGAATCACCTTGATGTCCTCTTCCTTCCATACTATATAACTTTGTCCCCTAGGAATTGCTCACTTACACCCGGATCAGAAATTTCCGATCCGGGCATGTTTGGCACTTATGCCACCAATCATAGGTTAGATTGCATCCCAACCACTGATCTAACCCAACTCAAATGTCTCCATGTCCCTTACAAAATAGTGTCCATCCCGCTGCCAGTGCGGGTAGTCGCAATCTGTGTGACTCGGTGCGCCACGTCGGGTTGCTACGTCAACAGGACGCGCAACAATGCGCTAATATTGTGCGCAACGTAATCGCGTTCTCCAACATTTTGTTTCCGCTACAAGTCACGTTCTGATTTCAATACAAAAGCATCTACTACTCGGACCCAATCGGTCTTACGGAAGGGAACGGAGAGGTGGCTTGGTGGCTGTACTAAGGCGCAAGTGTGGGAATCGGACCGAACAACTGAATTTCAACTTATGGCGCAAATCATCAGCGCACAACAAAGGAGTCAGAATTATTAGCCTTGCGCCGCGGCGAACACGATAGTAGGATCCAGACCCGTTTGTGAGCGAACGGAGAGCGTCTTATGCTGCCCACAGTATCGTCATCAGCATGAACTGACCGATGCCACCCCAAACGCCTCACCTACGGGGCGGCGCGTGAGTGCATTACGAAGTATTCAGGCTCGCATTCACTTGCATTGCGCGCCAATGTACAGACAATCATGTGGCGGTGAGATCATGTTCCTACAACTGATTGAAAATCTCCTTTGTATCTCCACTAAGAAGATTATCTATTAGCCTCGTTCTTCCAATCCAAAGAGCACCACTGATGATGACAGGTTGACCTTCGGGCCTCTCTTTTCTGCGCCAATTCACAACGTCGAACGTGTCGGGGTCATTCACCTCAACATAGTCAAACCTCATCTCTACACCGGCTTGAATCGCCTCCTCCTGTCTCCTCTTGATTACTTCTCGCGCCGCGGCGACAACCCCCTCCCGTGACCCCGAACCCGATATTTCCTCCCACACTTGTCTTCCAGCGGTAAGAGCTTGGTATAGTGTGGGGGCAAAGGGACGTTCGATGGATGTGAGATAGGCATTGCGGGAGGATAATGCAAGGAAGTCCTCTTTTTCCCGTTGAGTTGGGACAATAATGAGGTTCTCAGGGAGGGGGTGGGAGATAAGAAGGTCTCGGACCATGCGACGTAAGAGAAGACCTTGTTGAATATCCTTTTGCCCAAAGTATGCTCGAGTTGGCTGAATGAAGGATTCCTTCAATCGCATTCCACACAAATGAGGCAGTCACACGCATCACCTGCACCACACTAAAGAGTTTCGTAACAATCTGGAATGTAAATAATCTCGGTTCAAGAAGATACCCTCCTGCGAGCGAAGCATCCCTCACAGTTGCAACGCCCCTGAAAAATTTGGGTCTACTTTTTCCTTCCATTTGTTCTTCATACCCCTTTACTTGCACAAATGTTCCTTTCTGATCTTCTATGTTTTGGACAATACCGGAAGGGTACATGTCCTCGACAGTGGGCAAAAATACGGCACATTTGGGAGTTTCGCTTGAATCGATCGAGTCTCGTCCAACAGCTTCGTGAATCCTTCTCATATCACCATCAAATGTACGGGGATAGCTCGAAAGGTCCTCGTGGGGTGCAAATTGTGCAGGATTGACAAATATCGAGACAACCGTTAAGCTGTTTTCAGAAAGAGACCTGTCCACTTGTTGCTTCTGTGTTAAAATAACACAGTTATTTCATTAAGCACACCCCACCTAGTTTCATATGCCCATCTGTGCGCATGAGACTTAGATCGAGAGAATCAGGATGAGAAGGGCGAACTGACCGTGTAGAGCCCCCATCGTTGGCACAAACCCTATGGATCGGTTGTCTAGTGACTGCCTCCATTCCCTAAACGCCTTGACAGAAGGTAATACGGGTATTTTTAATGAGGCTGGCATCGTACGCGCCGAGAACTGTAACTTATGCGGGACGAAGCGTTTAGCAGGGATCATCGCTTATTAGTGATTATTTGTTCCGGAGATCTCCTATTCAACTTTGATTCAACGAGTCACGTTTCCCAGCGACACAAACAGCGATCAACGTCAGGGAGCGCTGCTGACGCCTCTACCAACACTAGGCGACGATCCGCGGCTGTACCAAAAGCGCAAAGAAGCCTTCCAAGGAACGCATACTGTGAAACTCATTTGAACCTGACACTGAGTCTGACTCTTCGGACACATGGACACTCTTGTGCAATACTGCGTGCGAGAACTTTGTTTTGAGGGCGACTACGGTATGAGCACACTCGTGGCTGGCTGGTTATTTTCTGGGAGATACTCAGTGAATTATCCTCCCGTGTTCGATTCGTGCTTAGGCTGTTCCATTTCTCGATTTAAGACTATTGTTCAAGAGCACTACGACGCACAAAATATTAGCACCTCCGACCAGCTGATCGACGATAATTTTATTCAGTATATATCCTCCCTTGTAATACGTACTGGACAGGTCTCCATAGGCCTCTGTCCTCCTCAAGTTCCGCAAGTCTTCGTTGCTCCCAATCCGATGACCTCCGCCAGAAAGCGTAAGAGGAATAAATCTATTGATTCGGAAGAAAACCAGGACGAAGGCTCCTCTCAGAGCACCTGCCCATTGCAGCCAATCGGTGGGGATGGAAAGTCCGCGCCTTTATTAGACCTCTGTACTGCGTATGACTCTACTCTGCGCATTGCAGCCAACCCTTCAACAATTTTCCGGACTTTGACAGGATCTCATGCGAGAGTCAGTGGATGCTTATGGAATGTGTTTGGATGTTGACAACTAATTTAATCGCGGAGTAGCCCTCGAAGATGACAGACATGGCATACACGGTGCTCAAGCTGGTTGCTTGCGGTCGAAACGAAGGCTGTACGGTTGATGAGATGGCCAAAACCGCCAAATACTCATCCGGATCGATGTTCCACCTTGTCAAATCCCTGGAGGAACTCGAACTAGTGTCAGTCATCATTTGTGTTGAATCGCTTATTTCAATTGATGCCACTTCCCTCGTCCCATCAGGCACAAGATCCGCAGTTCTGGGATTTCCAAGAATCGTGTTGTTCATCGCTACTTTTGGGAACATAGCGAAGTGTGGCAAAAAATGGTTGCTGAGGAGAGACAACTACAGTCTATCGCGATAGAAGTTCAGAGCGGCCCTTCTCAGAACGAACTTGCCATTGCCTCCGCCGTTTATGGGACCCACGAAGAGGAGCTGGTGGATGAAGAGGAAAAATCCCAACATGATATCGATGAAGCTGTCAAAGAGGCTCAATCCTTGGAATTTGAGCCTTTGGATCCTCTGACACTCGGAAGCTTCCCATTAGTTGCTGCGCGTGTCAAAAAGTTGCTGGGAAACTGTGCCAACAACACTCATGCTTACACAAATGCATTGCTCGCCATTGTAGGTACACTCCCCTTCAGGTGGAGCAACTAATGGCGTATTGCACCACTTCAGGGATGTCAGAACCCTACTCGCGCGGATCGACGACTTTTCCGGCGCCAAATCATTAACATGGAACGCCGCGGGCTTATTGAACGAGTGTTTGTGCCGTCAAAAAAGGTTCGAAATAAGATGATCATTTGCATTCGCCCCACCGTAGGTGGGCAACTTGTCCAGGGAAGATCCCATAAAGGTGAGAAATGCGGTGTCACGGGGGACCCTGACATATCACTTAATTCTAGATGAGGTTCCGGAGACGTTGGCAAAGTGGAATGTCACTATTCATCGCCAGCTAACTGAAATTGCGGATACTTTATCCCAACGTGGTAAGACGCACAATGTACGACCCGTCCCACCCTTTGCTCTCTCTCGCGGGCTCACAACCTACTAGGAAATGACGGCGCTCCTCGGTCAGTTCGATGTGCGTACAATCGAACATCTCATGAAGAAGAATGAGGAACATCCAGTGCCCCATCATCTCCGCCATTTCGCTATCGTCTCCGAAGTCATGCATTATGGGCGCGAATGCCGCACGGAATACTGGACAAAATCGGTTCTTCAGCGCTCACAACTTGATCCAAATGCTGTCACTGAGAAACTCAGAAATATTTTGGCTGAGGACTTGTCTGACGCGGCAAGTTTTGGAGAATTCCTCGAAGAAGAATTTTACGATGGGGATGTTGACACCCTGGCAACATACGTCGACAATTTCTGTCGCCCCACAATGAAGCGAGATCGTAGGACCAGTCTTAAAGCAGATGGGACTCCTCGTAATCGGAATCCAATACTGCCCGATGGGACTGTCAAGAAAGGCCGCCCACGAAAGGAGTGGAGTGTGCCAGAAAAGAAGACTAACGCTATTCGAAATATTCCATCAGTGGCACCAAAGAAACATGGCAGGCCACCAAAGGACAGGAATTTGGCGCAGGATCCTCAGAACCCACCTGCCGCTACGCATGAAACAACACGAGGCGGAGATCTAACCTTAGGTCGGGGCAGACGAAACAGAGCCGCGAGACAGAACCCAGAAAGAGTGACTGAGGCGGACAATTCTTCTGCCGGTGTTGGCAGTATGGGGGTTTCTCCATCCCAAATTTCAACGAAGGGACAGGATAAGCTCAGTGGTAGACCGCCTAAAGTCAAGGACCCAGAGGGTACTTCCAATAATGGAAATCCTGTCAATTCGACGTTAATTGGTGGTGGCTTTCCCGAACAATCGATTCTTATCAATGACCAACGTCCTGGGATAATCGAGGACCCTATGTTGAAATTAGTGTGTATCTCATTTAGTTCTCGACAGGTGAAGTGTTCAACAGTCATTCACAGACGAGGAAAGCCACAAAGCGTCCTGCGATAGCAGGTTTATCTGAAAAAAATCCAACTAAACGTCGTAAGACGACAAATGTTGAATCTGGGGTTTCTCGTCCCCCTCAAACAGTGCGTCCCCATCCGCAGATCAGCACAACCCGAAAGCAACCAAAGCGCACTCTCGGAAAGGTGAGTCTCCCAGCAGTCAGCTGTGGCGCCTTCCTGACATGGTTTCAACACCCAGCACCCAGGGATGCCAATCTTACGGCTTTGCGTCGACAGGAAGAACTCCTGACAGTTCTTCAGGATCTTGGGGGATCGCACATTTGTCGGAGAATCGAATATACGAACAGTTCCAAAAGGTCATCAAAAGGAGGATCGCGGATGGCGTAGTCACGAGCACTCCGGAAGGGATGTCTTTAGATCCGCGGACCCTGAGTAAGACAATGAACAGTCTCAGCGACCGAGGGCGAGTTGTTCTGAAACGAGTGGTCTTACCGACCAAGAGAGGCACTACCGACAAATTCACAATTGTCCATCTAATCAGCACAGAGCTTGAAGATGTCAACAAATTTATCACTTCCCTTGGAAGTTCATCTCACCCAAGTCAACCCGCCCTTCCGAGATTAGGTACTTCTATTGACTACGACGAAACCAAAATTAGTCACGATGGAACAAAGGAAAAATCCGAGTCGATGCTAAAAGCAATCAGAGATGGAACTAGCGATCCTCGAAAAATACGCCAAGATATCTTTGGCGAGCGTCGTGTCATCGATCAAAGCTTAGGATTCCTCGTGGGCCGATTCGCTCGCGCTCGCGAATTACATCTATTCGTGTCTAATCAGATAGACTTGTTGGGGGCCGGAGGAAATGCACTTCACATCGTGTCCGCTAATCCTCCCGTTTTTTCCACTCGTTATTTATGGGAAGGCATCCCAATTGGGACTTATTGTGCGCTGGTACCACCTTCCAAGGTTCACGACGAAGTGGTTGCATTTATGGCCGACCCTCAGCATAAGTGGACTCCGTGTTCAGAGGTTTCCCCGAGTGTTACGCGGCTTCTCGGAATCGGGAACAGCAAATGCCGAAAATACATCACGGACACGCTTGGTCGACTGAGAGAACTTGGCGTTGTCACCCCCCTCGTTGCGTCTAGCTCGGCGGAGCCCTTCATTACCACTCCGAACTCCTCCCAACCCACTTCTTTTGATGTGGAACCAGATACTTCGGGGTTCATCTCTTATTGGACATTCACTCCTTCGGCTCCCATTTGGCTTTTCAGAGATGCTGAAAACGGCTCCCCGCACAAATTAGATCAACCAATGCGAACCATGGAACAAAGGACGCAGTACTGGCAATTATTGTATGATGCCTCTATTTCCTCATCCCCAGCCCCAACACGCCCCATCTCCTTGCCTCGTGCCCTCTTCCAAGGCGATCCTTCTATTGCTTTCCATATTCGACGGCCAATCTCGTGGAGCGCTTCCTATGTGCTGGCGAAATTGCAGCGCGATTTCCTTTCGTCGTGCTTGGATATCAATACTTGTGCGTATGATGAGTCTGATCTTACCTTCTGGAAAGAGATGACCGGGGCACCGCTGTACGCCATCAACTCTTTCATGGAGGAGGAGCAGAGGAGGTTGCGGAACGAAAAACAGCGATTACTTGGTCAGACTAAACCTCGTCGTGAGCCGGGTAAGGTCTTGTCCCTGAAGATTGCCGAGACGAAACAGCGGTTGGAGAAGGAATGGGAGGAACTGTTAGATTCAATATATCGAGGGCCGATCCCTGATGAAAAACGAAGAAGCTTAACACAGTGGCGCGAGGCCTTTACCAACTCTGGGGGGCTTTCTGGCTTGAAGAGGAATACATCGATCGTCAGAGGAATCGAGAATGTTCTCAACATCAACAAACCTCTGGTCATGAAGGAGCTGATAACTAAATTCAAGTCTCGCCAAACCATCCGGCCCCTACTTCGAAAAGGTCCGGCTCAGAAAAAGGAAGAAAGAAGAGGTGCGAGATCAGATTAATCCAGCATGTCTTACAGTGGCCTCAGTCTCACTCACAGAAGAGAACACTAGCGCAGTTCCGAAGGCTCGACGACGTTTCGGTTGGAACGACGACTTCGACGAGCTCGCTCGAGACGCTGGCGCCATCATCAGAGCTCGCTGCCGCCGCCTCTCGAAACCAGTTTGGGGAGCACTCTCACAGGTATTTCCTACTATCTCTCGTCACAGTGCACGTATGCGCGTTTCCAAAGTCCTTGGAGGAGGACATGCTGCGTACGCCAAGAGGCTGGAAGCTCAATGGATGGACCTGTGGTTGAAGTTTCGTGGATCGACAGACCTTCCTGATGACCATCCCGATGACCCCGTAAATTTTGACTTGCTAACGCATGTCGACTTCTTAAGAAGATACATAGACAAGGGTAAACTGTAGGTTTCGCTACTGCTCAGTTTGTACCCATTGTTAACCCAGTGTCTGGGACGTAGTCGGGCCGGAGTTATTGACCGAGAGACCAAGCTGTTCGGTGCAACACTTCCGAAAAGCATTTGCCTGATTGCCCAGCGGTTCGGATACACGGACGATTCCCGATCTTATGATCCAAAGTTCGATTACTTCCTCACCACCGTTGGAGATGAAGTTCGTGAAAACGCTCTTTGTTCCGACCCATTCGTCATGAGGTCTGCCAGCGATGCCCCTTCTACAGGGGGTCCGAGAATCAGGGGGCTTACTCAGGCAGCAATCAAGGCGAGACTCTGTGAGCTGGGGCCGAAACCGATAGATCTGATCCGCAATCCTAGATGACTGTATCCACACCCGAGAACATTTACGACGATAAACTTGCAGTGGCACTCCTACGACAGCTTGGGGACACAGAAGTTGCCGAAGCTAACGAAGCTCTTCGTACGGAAGATGTTCTCGCACTCTCCAATCATGACCCATCACACCCTAAGCCGGGGCGCGGATACCGTTATCACGACGCGTACGCAATATTTTTCCATTTGTGTGGACAAATTTTTATGTTAGTATAGAATGAGTTCGGCAATTTTTGGTGTATTCCCCAATAAGGTGTATCGGGACGCCATCGTGTTGGAAGAAGATTTGCTTGCAAATGATGAAAATAGCTGGAATGAATGGCCCTTGCTTGCCTCTGACGGCACCACTGCTGCATTGTTAGGTTTGGTTTCCGATGAAAAGGTGAGCCTCATTCGTTTGATTCGTGGAAGTCCATGAGAAATCTCATATACCGCCGTAGGTCGAGCTTGAGGTGGAACCCCCTTCGCTTGAAGAAATCAAGGATATGGTGGCGGGAAACAGCAAGAAAATTGGTTCGCAACCGCAAGGATCACAACCTTCATTTGAGTTAACATTTGAAATAGATGATGACCACATTGAACCGATGCTTACCTATCGGGTCAGTGAGGACACTCACGATCCGTCCTTCTCTGTATCGCCCAGCGTGTCACCAGCTTACAAGACCTCGGAGTTGCCGTCTATAGGGAACCCGACTGGCGCCTTAGGGCATAGCATAACATTTGATGCTGCATGTGGGCCTCATCCATGCGTTGCCAAGGCTGCTGTGGACTGTGAAGCCTGCATATTACGCTCTTCGGAAAGGTTGTTTGCCAACTCAGCATTATCTGACGAGCTCCATCAGGTATTGGATGCTGTGAGGGATGCAGGAGAAGCTGGAATCTCGAAAGAGAATCTACTTGTTTGTTTTCTCGATCATACACTTAACTTTGCTAATTTTTTTTTTGCAGGCTCAAGTACAGGTCCCACGAGAATTGGTCGTGAGTTGCATGAAAATGCTAACCAGTACTGCGAAACCTCTTGCATTTTGGGCAGGATATTGCTGCCCAGCTGTCCTTGTCGCGTCCCAGCACCTTCCCGCTTGGTCCGTTCGGATCCCGAGTCCCATTGTCTGTGACACCTCCGATCCCCAGGGCGGGGTCAACCCAGGGATCGGCGGAAACCAGAACAGGTTCATAAATGTGTTCCCCCGACGATGGAAGGATATACGTGGGCAAACTCTCCAGAACCTGTGGGATGCAGCGCTAAAGGCGGTGATGAGTCACATCTGGCTCCGACCTGGAGTTTCCGAGGCATGATAGCCATTCATTCTAAGAGGCATAATCCTGATGATGTACCTTTCGTACAGATGGACCTCTTCTCCAGGCTTAAAGGTGTCTATGATGAACCAGAAATTCGGGATGTATTGAAAACTCTCCTAAACGATGGGTTCATCAGGCGACAATTTGATGATGACCTCGATTCGAAAATTCTTGGGCTCAATTCAGACCTGGAAGTAGGCATCGGCAGTCAACACGAATCACAAAACACATACTGGTCACCAGGTAACCTCTTACCGTGGTATCGGATCTCTGCGTAGAGCAGCTTTGTGCGCTTTTCGTTATCTCTCCATTACATGTTTGGGCGTTCACCTTATCATTTTCCACTGGTCCCAGCTATTGTTTGATTGGCGCATGGATAATAACATAGATGAGGGACGCTATCATGCTATTCTGTACCCTCTGCAGGAGTTGGCTCGAGATTTTGTGTCGGAGTGTTCGGGCCTAAGGGATCCAGCTTCAGCTGATTAAGTGCCCGAGGTTCCGCGTATGCTTGGCCATTACCCAGTCAACATTATCATCAAATATCGGCGTGAAATCACGAAAGTGGTGCCGACGCCCAGAGTTTGACTGTTGATCAGACGTCAAATAGCGAAGTTCAGGTGCGCCAGATCCTACTGAGTCATTCGCGCGAGCGTGCGGTCGGGTAAGGCCAATGATCACAAGATTGCATGGTAGTAAAACACGAAAGCTGCGAGAAACGCCAGGGTTCCTGGCGGCCACTAATTGACAGTATTGACTCTGACAATGCTCCGGCCTCACGGCTGATGTGTGCGGATAGCAATCAGCATGTCATGCGGCGAATGCGAGGTGCACGCAGCAGATGCAGCGACAGCGGATACAATGCGCCGATAAAAGAGACGCGGGTTATAGGGCTCGAGCGTAGGCAGGTTATAGGCAGGTTACTAGCCTCTATTGGAATAGAGCTCGAGCGCCAGCTCCGCCAGCCTTATTTGGTCTCGGACCAAATTGTACAATGAGTTTAATTATTTCGATTGCCTGATTTACTGTCGACGGCGGGTTTCTTTCGCTGGGGCAACAACAGGCGTGTTCAGTTAGATCAGAGCTTGGAGGCCCACAGGGGAGTGAGTGAACAAGCCGTGCAGACAGTTTTTTCAACATAACGTATCACAGATCTCTTGTACAATCAGTCTTCAACTTTTCATCAAAAATGTCGTGACATGGGTTGAGGCGTTGCTCGTCATCAGATCCATTGAAGACTCCATCATTGAGCTATGCCAAAATCCGCTGATGCCACGGTCAACCAAAATCCCGGATGGTTTAGTGATTGCCGTTAGTACTTTCGTTTTGAGTAGTTAGGGAAGGTTTCACTTGAGAATGAGGATAACCCTGAATTCCGCCTGGATTCGCACCATGTCCTGGTGGGAACCGCTCACCCGTCATAGTTCCCTAGCAGCAGAGACAAGTGAAAATTTCCGTATTAATCAGGGCCGTTGGACTTACAGTAATCGGCGTTGAGCCCTCGCCGCTTTCTCGATTGATCTGATCGTTGTGACTACAGCACACTTTGAAATCACATCCTGTGTGTGCAGTCTGAAGGGATTGAAAGCCCTTCAGATAATCCGCCTGGCAGATAAAGACAAAGACTTGGTCAATATTCGGCTTACCAGCTCCTTCGAAAGGCACTGTTGACATGGGACTCCTGACGAAGACATGATGTGTTCACCAGAAATATCCCTGTGAAAGAGAGAAGGGTGGCAATCCCCCCCTCCCCTTGATCTAGATCAATTTCAATGAGCATGTGCATAATACACTATTGGACACGACTTGAAGGAATGCCAAGATGCGCTTTCCATGGAAGGGCCCAATAATTGGGCTGGCCATTCAAGATCCCACGTTATTTGTTTGGAAGAAGCTGTATTAGAGAGGTCTATCGTTGGGCATTTCCCCCTTTACTCGGGCCTTTGGACGATGACGACGCGCAGTAGGGCACCCGGAAACGTGAACCAGGACTTGCGCAGTCAGCATCATCCTGGGTAGGAAATGGTGCAATGTTTTCATCAAATTCGACTCAGCAGCGGTTCGTACGTTCTGGACGGCGTGGATGCTGCTACTATGTTGCAACCCGATTAAGAGACCATAGGATCTCCAGCGCACAGTGACCAGGCCACCTCAGCCGAGTATGATATTTCGGGTATGGCTCACCTCTTAAGTACTTCTGAGTTGGGACGTCTGTGGTTGTTTCCAAATGAACGTGCGAATTCTCTCCAGCACCCGAGACCCAATAGGGTTGTGATCAGCCGAACTGAAAAGACCAATCGGTAGGCGACGCGCGCAAGGTGATTGGGATCCATGGAAGGTATTATTACTCCGTTTCAGCAAGACTCAGTGTCATTCACAGATGTCGCCATAGACGAGAACGATTCCCTGTCTTAAGGCTGGTCACCTGCCTATCCCTGTCTGCGCTCTGGCCCAAGATGCCCCTGCTATCCAGAAGGCAATGTAAGGGGCACTGGCACCTCACAAACGAGGCTAGCTGATCCCGACAAGCACGACTTCCATAGAGGCTGGGGCTCACGAAGTTGCGGGTAAACATCGGAAATTCGGAAAAAGCCGACTAGGAGTTCGTGAACTGCACCGTTTAAACATACAAGGCCCTTAAGGCCCAGCCCTGGGAAGACACAAAAGAAAGACAGCTAACCCCAAGAAAGAAAGAAGTTGATGAGAAGCGACTTATCGTAAAACGATCAACAGTCACCCAACCAAAAAACCAAAGATACAACAAAAGGACGCGCAAAAACCCCACATGACGTACACCTACGGTACGACAGCACACACTTCATGCCCTAATATGCCACCCATCCCCCTTCCGTTTCGTCCTCCCAAGTCCACCAAATCCCTCCCTAACACAAAGCCAAAGTCCCGTCGAACTGACCACATCCTTTATATCTTCCGCAGTGAGCAAAACCTCTGTACTCACGTCCACTCCTCCCCCTTCCTTCCCATCACTGACTGTCACATCAGCTGCACGCATTATCGATCCATCAGGTGCTAACGTCCTGGGTAAAAATCGAGCACCCACTCCTGACTCATATCGCCGCAGTGCGATGGGAATAGGTGATGTTTGGGAGTCTGAATAAGGCGCGGAGAATGAAGCAGTTGAATTGATGGAATGAAGGTAAGATAGGGATGAGGAAGCGTTGGGCGTGATGGCTACGTCAGGTAGGGGGAACGGCAGTTTGAATTGGCCGAGGATTTTAGGATGATGAGGTGTAGGTACTAGTGAGGCGAGTTTGAATCGAATTCGACCATCAGTGGGGAGCGGTGGAAGATCATTATCGTCTCCAGATGACGGATTGGGGTCGGAGGCAGATAGTCGTCGTTGTTGCTGCAAAAGAGCACGTTCTTTTGCCTCTTGCTCGGTAAGGGGGGAAGGTGAGACGGGTAAATGTGCAACGTGCACGTCCATGGGGTTTCTGAGTCTTCCGGATCTGAATCTGCACCTCCATCGTCTGCGTCTGTCATTCCCGTATCGTCGTCCCGACTGATCGTAGGAGACCGTCGCCGAGACGGTGATCGTTCGCCTCCATCGCCACCTTGTGTCAAGGTCAGGCCTAACTCAGCCGACTTAGGAGATCGTTGCACAACATTACTGTGCAACGACGCCCTCGAATGATTCGAGTACGTCGAGGACATCGTTTCAATATCCCTATTCCTATCCTCCCCAGTCGCAGGAGGCAACAGTCCATTTTCGTTCTCAACGAACGAAGATCGCCGTGGGGGATTGGGACTTTTGAAATTCAACATGACTTGTCGCTCTCTCTCCTTCCCTCTGGACGATGCACTTTTCCCCCTAGACCATTCGAACCGAACTTCAATGTCTCCCGTCGACGAGGTATCAACGGAGTCTTTCCCGTGCTTCTTTTCATGGCTCTCCAATAAGTTCAAATTCAACCCATGGAACCCAACAGCTAAAGCTTTCAGGAGGCTATCTGGATTGAGTTGTTTTTCTTTAGCCCATTTACGTAGGCACCAGATGTAGTGAGCTGGACGTCCCGTTGGGTGCGCTGAATGACTGGAATGCAGAGCAGCCTGTAATCCAAGAACAGGGGGTTGGAGGATAGGTTCATGAGGCTGAGAGTGCGAAGAGGATACATGTCCTGATCGACCGGAGAAGACACTAGGCTGGGGTGACAGCGGGACAGAGAGCGCACCGATACGCGCCGAGAAACGTTTGCTTCGGGAAGAAAACTCTGATGATGAGGGCTCAGGTGATGCGGGTTGAGATTTGTCATCATCCCCTCCATTCCTGCTATTCTTTTTAAACATTTTTCCGAAAAGTTTCTTTGCAGGGTTCGCGGAAGGCGGGGGTGAAGTTTGCATAGGAGGTGGAAGATCCTTCAGATGAACGCTCGGTGATTTCTCATTGATGCTGGAGCGTTTACCCGGTCCCGGGAGTTCAAATGCGGAAGGAGAATTGCGCACAAACAGATCGGTGCTAAGCGCGTTCCCGCCTGACAGAAGAGTAGCGTTTCGCTCGAGAGCACCAGGTTCTTCGGATGGAGCCATGGATGGAGTTCTCGAGACCCGTTGCCGATACGAACTCCATACCTCCACAGGCTCCCAAGTACCTACACGTATAACCTCAAGCCCACGTTTCTGGAATTTTGCGACCTTGGCATCTGTCCCGGCATCACAAATGTAATTTGGCATGACATTATGAGCAGAAAGGTTGTATAGGGGCACAATGCGTCGTGGTGCATTTCCCCCTATCGTAGACGAGGTGGACGCGAACGAATTGACGGAAGACGCGTGAGCAGTTGAAGCGTAAAATCCAGCGGAACGATCGGAGTTGTTGGATCGTATGGATGCAACGCGTTTAAGATCATGCGACGGGGGTGTAGGGGTTGGATATGATGGGCCAAAAACAGCAGTGGTTGGTGATGGGGAGGATGTCCGCTGAGCTTGAGGATCAATACTGGCATTATAATACTCGCCAGATTGTTGGGAAGCTAAAGAAGCGGAGCGTGATGTGTTGTCTTTCAGTCTTGGCGGCACGAGTTGAATTTGTAAGTTAAGGGGGTGATTATTTTTCGCTGGTGGGGGTCGTACGATGATGTACGTCTGATGGCATGCGTGGGACCATGGAGGAAAGATTTGACCACCAGTCGGGCATCTAAGGTCGAGAGACCGTGCTCACCTCATTCAAAGGTTTCTCTGACCTGGGCCGACGTGAACGGGGCGCACTTCTCTCTCCTGTAGAGGTAGGCGGCCGAGACTGAGCAGAAGATAGTGGACTTGGTGTTGTTAGGGGTGTGACGGCCGGCTGTGCTTCAACATAAGTCGACATTGGACTGGCATCAGTGTTGCTCTGATCATCGCCCTCGGTGGGTTTACTGGTGGAGTCCTTCCCCCTCTCGAGTTGCAACATGCCTGCTGGTAGTAAAGAGGAGATGGCAGCAAACATGGTGGATTGAAGACTTGTACGCGAAAGCACTGGGAGTTTTAATTGTGAGCCGAGGGGACGGGGGCCGAAGCATGCCAATGCTTATATAAATGCAGTTGCCGCGCGCGGCACCCAGGGAGTACGTACGCAAATATTTTGATCTCGCTCTTAGGATGTGTTGCGCCGCAGGAGAAAGTCCATCAGACAATGTTAAGTTTCAGAGTGTCACGCTCAACGAAGGACTCGTCACAACGCTCTTCTCATGCATCGAGTACTACATGTACACTTTTTGGAAGAATTTCATTTTTAAAACTATCTTCAGTGTTTGTAATGTATTTTCTCTCTTATGGATAGATGCTTAGCAACCCATGCATTGTGGTTCAAGCGCTCGTCACCGGCGCTGATTGAAATCGTGACCGAAGAGCGTCGCGCTATTGCGGAAGATGACCTGACCAATGGATCGTTTGCCAAGAGATTGTTCATAGTTACAGTTTCATTGAGACCAGGTTCACATACTTGTGTATATATTGTTGAACTCAGCCTAGAAGTTGGCCCCTCCGCTGTCTTTCTCGTTCTGCTCGTCGTAGGTCCGGCCGTTTGTCATGGTGTATTAAATGTGCCTTGGTCCCTTGCAGTCACGCGCGCAACACGGGTTCCGCGTGTGAAGGTAGGGCAACGGATGTTCGGCCACGCTCTTCGCAAGCGTACGTTGGGCTTGGTCCGGCGCAAAATGACCCTTTCTGCCAGGTGGTAGAGACGGGTGCAAGCTGAGATACACTCGACAGAATTAAGAATGTGTGGCTCCTTGCCGCGGGGAAGACAGCAGCCAACGCACGACATCGCACGCGGTTTCCATGCATGCCCGCAACGACAATAGGCCGCGAAGGAACGAGTCCCGGTTGCTCTAGCTGCTAACAATCAAAAAATTATTATTATTATCATTCAATCATCATTCGCAGTGCTGACAGAAGCTGCATCACGAAGACCACAGCATTGGATGCCGAGCGCGCATCTCGGAGCCACGTTCCGCAATGGGTAAATGAGATGGAAACGATGATCGCCATGGTTGACCGGGAATCTCCACCGGTCACTATTCATCTAAGCGCCCAACGAACCCGTCACCACTTCCGCGGATGTACAACATGGGTGATATCAGTCATGCCATCCTCAGAGTCACATCGATGGGTTGGGTTCTTTCCTTTGATTGTTCAATGACACCGTGTTGACCACGAACCCCTTTCCTAAAATGGGCGATCCGGAAATGGTGTTGAGTCAAATTAAATACAGATCACCCAAAAACAGTCATACAAATTAACCACCCTGTTGTTGACTGTGACCCATCCGCCACTGCTCTAAGACCGCTCACGCACACATTCACTTACATCCCCTCTAGCCATGGGAAAGGGTGGCAAGAGGAACACTCAGCGCCCGCCACGTTCGTACCTTGCTCTTGATTCAAGCTCCGTTGACCTCATCTCACGCCCAAACTCCCGTCCACTCACGTTCTAAAAACAACTACAGCGCGCTCACGTACGAGGCAGAATAAGCCAAAGGTTAAGTGTCCATGATCACTGCTCCATCAATGAGAGGTGAATCAGCTTCACTGACATGAGTTCATCCCTGGCATTTCAATATCAGCTGACGGACCCGGATCGTACTGAGGTCGAACTTGGTGCCCAACTAGCCACCCTTGGTCTTGCGCTACAAAATACGATTGGTGATGGCAACTGTCTCTTTCGTGCTCTCTCAGATCAGCTATATGGAACAGAGGGGTATCATCTCCCTCTCAGAGCCGAGGTCACCAATTGGATGGCTGCTCATCCGGACCGCTACGCTGGATTCGTAGAGGATGACCGTGGGTTCGATGAACATCTTATATGTATGCGACAACCTGGTAAGCCCGCTCTCTCCACTACACGTTTCTCAACGCCGACTCTCACTGCCTTCTCCGGCATATCCATTTATTTCTCCGCTCATGTGATGGGACTTAATAACAATAATATCTACAACAAACAGGCACATATGGGGGCCACCTTGAACTCAGCGCGTTTGCTCATCTCAAACGCAAGAATGTCAAGGTTATTCAGCCTGGATTGGTGTATGTGATTGAGTGGAACACGGGCGCTCCGCTCAGCCCGGTGGATCGCGCTTTTACTGGGAGCGAACAAGAGCTTCACCCCCCGCCCTCACCGAGTTTAGAAAGGGAGCATCGTCGTGTTAGACGCGAAAAGTTACGAGAAGGCAAAGAGAAGGACATAGATTCTCATCCATCTCTGGGTGACACTGTTTATGTTGCGTAAGTTCCTCACATTGTATTCGTCATTGAATCATAACAGCGCTAACGCCACATGGATTGGAAACATATTTAGATACCATGACTGGGAACATTTCTCGTCCGTGCGTACTGTATCTGGACAACTCCCACTTCAAGCGATGGCGCCCACGACCACCATCCCAGCAGGGCCGGATGCTGGTCCATTACCGCAACCGTCAGTTGCACCAGCCACCGCAACAATAAGCCTAGAAACACCCCCATTGCGTGCGAGACAATTACGAGGCCGACCGCGAAAACAGCCCCAATCAGCATTAACTCCCATTCCTGCAACCCTTGATACCGCCGTGCCACCCTCGACAATCATCACTGCCCCAACACCCACCGCTCCTTCCACAGTTCCCCTTCCTCGCTCGCTCACCCCATCTACAAACTCCTCAGCAGACGACGCCAACTCCGCCTCTTCAACAACCCTATCACAATCCACTGCTACTTCATCCATTGCACCTCTTACACCATCTGACTCTGCTAGCGCCCTCCACGTTCATTTGCATGATTCTAATGCTAAAGGACGATCACCAAAACGATCATTAGAATCGATGGATGAAGCACCAAGTGACGGGAGCGATCCGCGAGGTGCAAAACGTCGTGCGGGTGGTTTGTCGGGTCTCCGATCAACATTAAATGCACCGAGGGGAGGAGATAGTGTCGTCACACCACCTCTTTCCTCTTCAACCACTACACCTGGATCATCCCATCCTCCTCCTTCCAGGGGGAGTTCGATAGGTGCAGAGATGGAAGAAGATGAGGAGTCTTCAGAACTTTCGTCTTTGGAGGATGTCGAGGAGATGTTACAAGGAGGTGAGAGGGAGAGTAGTACTATTTCCCCTGGGTCTAAGCCCCCATCCACTTCCTTATCGTCCCCTTCGACACCTTCAAAATTACCGACGAAGAAGGTAGCGGGAAGGCGAGTAAAGAAGGGGAAAGTTGATTTATTAAGCGGGGACGTGGACCCGGCGAAGCTGACGAGAAGACAGAGGAAACAGTTCGGGTTACCGAAACCTCGGTTGAAGAGGGTTATATTGACTGTAAATGGAAAGAGACCTTCTGAGGCTGGACCGAAACCTGGGGAGTCAAACGGCGCGGGTGCAATTGGTGAAGTGCAAGCGGAGGCCGAGCATGGGTGGATGAAGAACGGGGCCGGGCGATTAGATGTGAGAGGGTTTAGGGAACTCAAGATATGATCTCGCATGGCGTGGTTCAGCATACGTTGAAGAACATTACGATGGGGAGGTTCTCGGAAGGTAAGGGGTAACAAGCCCGCCAAGAAAGGTGTGCTAGTTAGCTGTCCATTCGACTCAGCCTCTTTGCTGCAATCAGGGTTATGACTGGCTTCGCGCGCTCATACCTCTTTGAGTTTCTATCTTGTTGTCGTATTGTGCATCCTTTGACTCTTTTGTCTTTAATGCATCATCAACGTCCACTTTAGTAGATCACCTCCGACTCATGCATCATCATTGTGACTGCCACCTTACGTTTTGTATTCGTAGCTCATCATCCCGTTTCCTTCAGCAGGTCCCCTCTGACTTTTCTCTGTTTCTCAAACCTCACTGATATGATATCATTCGTTATCGCGCCACACACCTTCTCATGCCCAATTCCCATTCCCGTTTACCCAATTCTAATACTCCCTACGTTCCGTCTGCATTCCATGCATGCTTTCCACACATCATGCATACGATCGCATTTTGTAAAGCCATTCCCAGAACTCATGGTCTTCATACATTCACGCGCGCGCCACCACGATTTTTTTCCCGGATCTTCTAGCTATTTCAGTTCTTTTGGCCTTTTTCCTCTCCCGCATCCTGGCCCAATACCACAAGATTACTATCAGACACACTGATATAATCAGTGATCAGGCCTCTGCTTTGCTTTTCGATAATTTCCTTCTTGCATGGGGCCAAGCTGAAGTGAACACTCGAGGATTATTGTTTTGTTTGGGAGCAATTGCATGTGTGCCGGCCAAACACGTGTTTCTCGCGGCAGGTTTCGACTGAGGAGCTTCAACCGGTCAACATAGGCCACTCCCCGTGGTTCTGGGGCATTCATCTCACGCCTTGTCACGATTAAGTCCACCCGATAACGATACGACCAAGACGTGACATTCTAATCTCTTGGCGATTGCCTTTTCCAATCATCCACCTTGCACTCTCTGTGAAGCCACCTTAGATGGCGGAAGATCTCCGGGCTGCTGATAGTGATACTCGCAATGATATGAAGGCCATAGTTCAACTCTCATTCGACGATGGTCTGCAGAAGAAGCTACTATTGCGAATCCCTCATGATATCCTAATCACGCTTTCTGCGAGGCCACGCAAATGGCTCTGTTATGCCACATATGCCATATGTGGCATCACAGGGGCCCTATTCTTTCATGATAACGACAAGCCTGCAGACTTGGACGGCGGTGTCGATGGCGAGGACCACTTTGTGTACCGGCTCTCTGGTGATCCCGCATTTGTGGATTGGGATGCGAGAGTTGGTACATATGATTGGGTACCCACCACACGCAAGTCCCCCACCTACTCGGAACTGCAGAAGTATTACGGTGGATGTCCATTCACAAAGATGGACAGTGAGGTTTGCGCAGGTTGTCATTTGATTCATCGTGCCAAAGGCTCTAATGTGTGTTTCACCGGGACTCGACACGCTCAAAGCCAGTATCACTGACAGTGTTCATGCAGTATCTGCGTGACATCCTGAGCGATCATCATGATCCAATTCAAGACATGGGCATTGATGATCCGAGAAATATGCTCTTGTTAGCCCCTCAGCTTCATTCGTACTTCAATGATAATTCAGTTGCATTTCTTCGGGTTCGTAAAGTATTTATTCTGCCCTGTTGCACCAGTGCTTACACAGAAGTAGACGCCAAACGAGTTCCTGAAGTCGAACGAAATTCCCGGAAGAGAGTCTGAAGAGCCCGATAAATACATTGTTACTCTCCAAGCCTTTACGGAAAGGGCTCGTACAGCTTTGCCTCATAATGCTTCATCAGGTATGACAGAAGGCTCAGGGTTGAGCCACCTTCCGTCTGATAGGCATATCCGCCCGGATATCGTACCGAATAATACCCTTCTTGATATCACTTATGCAGCTGCCTTGATTGTGCGGTGGGGCTCAAGGGATCTCAGGAAGTCGATGGACGAAAGTGCGGGCAAGTACTATGCTGGTGGGGCAATTAAACGAGGTGAAAATTTAAAAGGGGGCACGACGAAAGAGCAGCACAACGAAGAGCGAAATGGTAGGACGGCTCGACAAAATGGAGATGCACCTGCAAGCAGCAGTGCAACCCATAACAGTAACCTAACCAAATGGGAACAGGCCTGGGATGTTTGGGATACACTTCTGTGGATGCCATACATGTTGACAGGGATCTCACCCGAAGAAATCAAGGCAGAGCATGAAGAAAGCATGAAGAAGAGGGAGCAAGAAGAAGTGGAGCGTATTGGGTGGTGGTGGAAGGGAGTTAGTGAGGGACGACCGGAGGACGCGGTTGGATGTGGAAAAGAAGCTCCTGACTTCGACGCTGAGGACGAAAAGTCAGTAAGGCTTTGAGGAGGAATCCTCAGGAACGTTCACTTTATCTTCCACACATTCTACACTCTAGTTCTAATCACCCATGCGAACGCATAACGACAAAATTGCGTAAGGCCAGTGAAAACGGACAGAAGACCGTACAGATTAAAGACATGCGGATCGAATGATGGGCGGAAGAGCTACATACTAGGGGAATTGCATGGATAGTTTGTTGAGAATTGTTTCCCTGGTGAGAACGCTGAACTGATCCAGAAAAGGGAGGGAAGTTTAAAATGCAAATGAAAACTAGAAGCGGTGTTGAGGGCACACGTTCGAAAGTGGATAGGTGTCGAGTGATGCGGTGTGCCAGACCACCTTCAAGTCTCCGCGGAAATCATTAATATGCTGCCTCTAGCTATCAACAATGTCTCTTGGCCCGGGTCTATATATTCAGCGAGCAGTTGACGATCAAGATTGAAGCATTGCAGTTCGACTAGTTTTATAAAGTTGTTCCAGGAACCTATCAAGTTTTCACGCATTCAGATGTACTCCATCGATATTTTTCTTTCAATCAATTCTTTCTTTTCTTTTGCTTTCAAGCGGCTATGCATTCCCGCTCGCTATCGCCATCAATCCTCCAACTGCGGTGATAAACATTGAACTGAAATTGTGCCTTAGCGAGGACAGAGAAAGACGTGGATACATGTTCACCAAGCAAGCCAATTGCTACGAGACCTCTGAAGGCGACGCCTATCCGGGCACTAGAACACCCATCCACAATAACTACGCTTTCACACCAGCCTCAGCCAGACTCATTTCTAGCGCGAGTGCAAGTTCAGCGTCTTCCGCCTCCCGCGTTAAGGGCGCTAAAATAGGGATACTTCTATCATGAGACATGGCTCTTGGACGAACAACTAATGTCCGGTCGTGTTTGTCTTTTGCCGAAACCGGCTGAGTCAAATTGTGTCCCGCAAGGCTCGCGGTGAGAAGAGAAGGTCGAGCGCGAACGCCCCCCGACGCTGAATTGACTAGACTTGCTCCTCCGGAGGACGCCTTTGCTGCATACGAACCACCTTGCGCAATTGCAGCCGAGCTATTGGTGAAAATAGGCTCCACAGGTTGCACGTTCGCAGTGGATGCCGGTATAGCACAGGTAGGGAGCAAAGCAGGTGGCACGGGGGAGCAGACTACGGCACTCCAAGACCTTCCTGTACTACTTGACGGTGTTGCTTCAGGGGCAGGTGATGCGGAGACGGATGACGGTGCTACAGGCGGCCATCCTGAGGCCAATTCTAGCCCTGCAGCTTGATTGGCCGACATAGTTGATGGCCGCGGACGTGATGTGTGAGTATCTGTGGTGTTATCGATGGAGGCGATATTTGTCGTGCTGGAAGACTGAGCCATTGAGTCCCCATGATGTGGACTTAGGCACAAGAGGGATGCATCCACAATGAAGGAGCTCCCTGCCCCCGTGGGTTCGAGGCGCGTCCTCGGAGACACCATGATCTTTGGACTTCCAAAGCTCCTGGGAGAAAGAGAGCATGCCAAGATTGGAAAAGAAACTGATGACGGCGGTACACGAGCAGAAACAGGAGGGGATGGGATAGGAGTAGAAAGGTGAGGGGATTGTGAATGTGTAGCATCAGGAATTGATGAGAACGACACAGCCTCGGGAGTCGGATCTCCAAGAGACGGGATGGACTCGGAATTGTCGCAGCACGTCCCAGGGACGTCCAGGATATCGTCGCTGAAGGGTCCATCATCGCTTTCAATAGACTGGGTGAGCCTCTCGGCCACATTGGCACGAATCCTTGCTTCTTCTTCATCACGGCTCAGCATGAGGGCGTATTCAACTGCCTCGATCTCATCCAAGCCAAGCTCTTGCATGGTGCTCACTTGATCCCGCAATCGATTATGAGCCATCAGGGAGGTAGTGTGTTCATCGTCCAGCTCTTTGCGAGACTCAGCGATATCGTTTCTCAGTTCCATCTGTACTGTGAAACCCGAACATTATGAACTTCGAGGAAATCAAGGACAAGAGGAGAGGACTTACGGTGCCATTTCGCAGTCGCGTTATTCCCTCGTCTTCTTTTGGACTTCAGAGTAGACTTGGCTTCTGATTCCCCGAGCAAAGCCCGCCATGCTACCGCCCTATTTCCGATACTGGCCACAAGGACTTCGTGCCCAAAAATGATTTGGGACACCGCCAAATCTGGACCAGGTTGCGTGATGTGACTGTGGGGTTGAGTGCTTCGTTTAAGAGGCATGAAAGAACGAATGAGCTCAAACGTTGCTAGGTTCCAAAGACTGAGCCTGCCGCTCGAACTAAAAAGCAGGTCTAGTCTGAGTCAAACGCCACGGTGCACATGTGGATCACGAACCTCCCTGTCGCTATAGCGGTTTCACTCATTCCAATTGCTGTCACAGAGGCATCATTGTAAGCTTCCCATCGGTATCTTGCTTTTGTCACAGGATACGTGCATCTGTCTGAATCAGAGACTCCTATGCTATCCCAATCCCAGATGCTGACGAACCCCAAAGTGTCGCCGCCAACGACAAAGCTCCGCGGCTTGGGGCCTTGTTGCTCTGTAACACTGGTCGATATAGAAGTAGATAGGGCTAGTGATGGCGAAGCGATGGGGAAGTTAGGTGGGGTCGAAACATCTACACCCTTAGAAGATGCCATTACCAACATTTCAGACACTGAGTCGGGACGAGTGGGCGCATCCTGTTGCGTATGAGAGATCGGAACCAGGTTCGCGAAGAGAGTGATTGTACTGCTTGCTGAGATACCGGAAAACTTTGTGACATTACTGGACTGGACTGGATACGGCACGATGTCCTGAGCAACTATATCGTCTGCTGATCGGAAACTAATGGCAAAGCGATAGAAGCCAGGCTCCCCCGTGTACGACACGCCAAATCGTAACTCATCCGGCACGTGATACGAGCAGCCTTTAATTTGAGATTTTTGGAGAAAAAGACAATTAGGGACACCACGGTCGGCGGATAACATGGATACGGTTATGTCACTAGCAGCGGAAGGTCTTGTGAGACGGGTAGAACGAAGGAACCTGAACTCGAGCTTCGAAGTATCGAATGCGGTGAGTGAAACGGGGGTCACGGATGGCGTTGGAGCAGAACTGGGGCCACATGCCTTGACTCGCACATCCATTCCAGACCAGAGAGCGACGTCCCCGCACTGCAAAGCGGCGACGATATGGCCGGCAACAGCGTCGTAGGCTACCTTCTGAATTGCCAGTTGCGAGTCCCCGAGAGAAGCAAGGTGAGGTGTATCCCCAAGCTCGACAACAGAGCCAGTCCAAAGGCAAGTCATCGATTTGGACTCCCATAATTTGACTACGCCCATCCTGCATGCACTGACAAATGACAAAGAGTCATTTATTATTCCTCCCAGAATAACGCCTTCCTCTCCGAAAGCAACCGAAGATACAACGCCTGGATGCATGTCTTGCACGCGGCAGCGAACAAATTTTGCAGACCGTGCGCTCTTATCAAGACTCATGACTTTTGGGGCAGTCGTACATGCGATGCATCCATCAAAAAATCCCCAGACTACCCTTGGGGTCGACTGGGACGAGGGGGCTGAAACACCTTGAGGCGAGGGGTACATCCCAATAACAGACACTCCTGGCGGGAATTCGGCATTAGGATTGCCAATTCCATTGAGCGATCCGTGAGTATCTAAATGACCCTTCAAGACTTTTCCTGAAAATGAACGTGCATTATTTCCAATATCAGAAGAATATTAGATGAATGGCGAACCCGTGAAAGGGATGCTCCGAGAAACTACACCATGCTCAAGGGAGGAGGTCAAAAGCGAAGCCCGGTCGTTCAAGAGCATCCTGATGCATAAAAACTGTGAGAGAGGAGCGGGCACACATAGAGGGCTAGTTACATAGACGATATAATCCCGTGATGTGGGGTATGGCTAATGGTGGGGGATCGTGAATCGCGCAAACGCCTTATTGACGCCAATGAAATAAATCATCCGAAGGTGAAACGGAACGCCACATGGGACCGCACCTTAATAAGGCCCATCGGGCAATGAACTCTTTCTTCCACGATGACTCGATCCGTCTAAGAAGTAAGGCCTTCCCCTTTGGATCATCGATCTCGGATTCAGGCTCGAGGCCAAGGAACTGGACCGAGAAAGCAATCTTCCACGTCCTGTCATTAGAAACATGCTCGAAAAGGGCACGATTGGCCATTGAAAGCGAATAAAAAGATTTGGGATCCAGAGTAGATGTGACATGCATGAGGCACTCTGAGGGAAGTGCAAGTAGAGCAGATTGATTTGTGTCATGGTGAGGTAATGTATCGGTTCCTTTAGTGCTGCAGAGTTGGATTGTTCTACGTGTCGATGATACTGTTCTGGAGGCCTTATGAGAGTGCTTGGGCATAAAACTGACTGAATGTAAAGCAACGCGATGAGGGCAAGCCGCTGGAGGTAGTCGCAATAACCACGTGATTCACTCAGATATAAAATTGACAACATTGGTACACGTGACCGGCCCGGGGCACAGCAAACAAACATGCGACTCATTCCCGGGTATTCTCCTAGCTCATACCATTTGCCAACTCTTAACTCACGACGCCAGCGCCTGAAGGTATATGTAAGTCTCTCCATACTCGACTCGCATTTTGCGGTTCTACGGTATTCTGGCACGCCGGCCTTGTATGATTTTACTACTATGCGGATCCCACCGAAAGCCCGGTGCACGCAATACTAGGCCTGGTCTCCTCACAAGGTGTAGGATTCATTGAAGGGTATTGCAATTCGTCATGGTCCGCCGAAAAGGGCGTGCTTTCCGCTCCGCATCTCTCTGCAGGACTCATAACTTTTTGGCCCATGGAATAACGTCTTCACCTAACGATTTGCTGAACCAACCAATATACCCTTGGACACCGAGTTTGCTGGGATGAGAGACCACCGGGAATATGAACATGTCACGTTCATTTCGTCACAAGTCGACTCATTGTGCTGCTTTCTCGAGTGCAGCGTACTCCCTCTCATCAGCTCCCCACCTCTCCCTCCCTTCCCTTTCGCTTCTCCCAGTAATGAGTCTCCTTAACATTGCCTTCTCTTCGTTTCCTAACTCCCCATCATCCGAATCCAAGTATGTGAGCAAGCACCTAACGACCTTCTCTTCAAAATCTAGATCGCCATCTACGCCTTCATCCCATCAACACCATGGGAATTGGATTTATCAGTGAAGATAGAAGTTCACGGACAACATCATGTTGCTTGAAAGCAGCACGAACTTCCCCGCTGGTGGTGGTTTCGGGAAAAGGAGTGTCATCTGGAAAGAGGGACGTCTGTAGTCCTGCCGTGTACGTTGATGAGCTGGTCCTGTTAGCGATGCCGCGGAGATCTGATGTATTGGATGAGGGGGCAGGCAACGAGTCGACATGTTTGGGTACATCTTGGAGTAGAAGTGTGGTAAGGAGAAAAGCAGCCTTCCTGCGGACTTGTATGCTTGAATCTGTGTATAATGTTAGCCCAACGGCTGTAGCTCTAGAATGGATAGTGATGCACCTTTTAGTGCGTTCTTGAGCACGTCCCATCCGCCGAGGCTTTCGAGCTTACGGACGGCCTCTGCATTGTGCTTCGTTGCGCCTGAGATTGTATAAAGTGCTTTGGCCCTTGTCTGAGGGCTAGCTACGGCGTCAGGTGAGGACAGCACGGATAGGACAGCTGGAAGTGGATCGCGAGATAGATACTGTTGAGGAATAAACACGCTACTCATGAACAAAGGATCATTTCGTTAATGCAACATAAATACCTCTTGTTGTGCTTTGGAATTGTTTTGAATTGCTGTCCCAAGGATCCAGAAGGAGTTCATCTTGATTTCATCCGGCTAAATTTTGATAAACCGATGAGCGTGTCCCACATTTTAAGGGGTGTTAGATCTGGATCACGCAAGCAGGGGGTTAGTTGAACGTCATGCAGCGAAGTGATTCAATCCCACTGTTAGCGTTGTCAATAGACTCTATGAGCTAAGAGAAAATGCGCGCCATGAGAAACTTGCCAATCCCTTCATGATAAACACCACATTTACCATCTCGAAGTTATCTAGTGCAGTAAGGCGATCATCGAGACTCCGGGATTCATCAGTAGCGACAGCTAAGTTTTCCTACTTGGAATATACATAATCAGAATCTACGTGCCCCAACGGCCCAAAGAAGCTAAGTGGGAGCAAGGCACCTTCATCTGTACCGCGTCTGGCTTTCCAAGTATGACATCGATGATCCCAGGATCTATTTTCTGGCCCGGCTGGACGGAAGGGGGAGGCCCCTGTGGATCGCTATGCGTCAGGCCCCATCGCAAAAGAGACTCCATTGACGCTGAGAGAGGCTTAACAATAAGAGAGAGGTGGTTGGTGGCAGTGCAAATCGTCGATCTCAGTTGCCAGGGCTCAGTCTTCGGCATAATAAGGACGCTGTATTTCACTTACTAATCAAAAATGAGCACATCCACATCAAAACCCACATCTCCCCCGGAAGACGATCTCGTCGACGCAATTCGTCCAATTCGCCAAGCTCACCCATCCTTAGGGGCCGCTAAACTTCTTGAGCTGTTGCTACAGTCCCACGGGGACTGGGCAGTTTCAGAGAAGCGCCTGAGGAAGGTGCTTCAGAAAACCGGTCTCATCACCTTGGCCAACTCGTCGCATCATGAAAGCGTTAGCCGCACTCCTGCAATCGGAGACGTGGGACCACCACATAACGAAGGGGATGTACAGTCTGCTCCTACGATTAATTCTGACGGAACAGAACAAGAGTTCCCATCTTGGAGTCTCAATGCACAAATGGACCCTACGAAATGGACTAAAACTGTTGACGTCAAAGTGATTAGCGACCAGAAGGGAAAAGGTCTGGTCGCCAGGGGACCAATAAATAGTGGAGAGCACATATGGGTCGAAGATCCATTTGTTTTTAGCCCGGAGTGGTACGCCTTACTTTGGCGCGATATCGGTCGACCCAAACCTAGTCCCATCTCTCTACACCTTCATTTCTAGGGAGCTGGAAAAGCTTCAATTATCCGGGCATGCATGCGCGTACTGCACAAAACCTGTCGCATCTTCGACAATGCAACCAGCATATTGCACTCGCTCTTGTGGTTCAGCATTCTGTAACCGGTTATGCAGTGCTCGGGGAGCGTCAGTGCATGCTTTTCTGTGTCCGATCCAGAACCCGGCATGCATTCCTTTCGTGCAGCACGTATGATTGTACTTATATTCGTGCATTTCAAGCTCTGAATCTTTACGTCTAGGTTCGCGCGCAGAAGTGGAAAGCTCCTTTGGCTTGGGCTCGCGTAACGGCATTACTCCTTTCCCTTGCTGCTAAAGCCTCAGACCCCTCGTCTTCGGCATCAAAGGACTTAGGGAATGCTTTATCCATCGTCCGTGGACTTGCAGCCCTGAGTCTGGAGAGGAGAGTTAAGGTACTTCCAGGATGGTACGTCTATTTTCCGTTTCCAATTAGTTGTCGTTTCATCTACATCGGACTGCTGCGCTGTAGGCAGGCTTCATATGACGACTCCTGCGCAATGTGGAGGAAAACACACACCCTCTTTGTGCAGGCTCTCTCTATTCCGCCCGATCCGAAGCACCTGAAAGCCCTGCAGAAGCTTCGCGGAAATGCGAGCAAGTACACAGGAATCAAAAGGCTCGAGGCCGAACTCTTCACCTGGGATGGCTTCATGGTTGGATTAGGAAAGATGGGCCTAAGCATGTGAATTATTCCACTTCCTTGAGTCTTTCTAATGTATTATCATCAACGCAGACATGGAAGCCTACGGCGGCATATATGCTCTGCACTCACACGTGAACCATTCCTGTGATCCTAACATTTCTGTCCGACATATTACAGCGAACCAAGTCTCTCGCATCACTATCATTTCCAGACGCGATATTACAAATGGAGAAGAACTCACTGCGACGTACGTAAACCCCAGTGGGGATTTATGGACCCGAAGGAGGGAGTTGAAAGAATGGGGGTTCGGAAATTGTATGTGTGATAGATGTAGAACGGAGGAAGAGGAGGCGAGAAGGAGAGGTGATTTCGAAAGTGAAGGTTCGGCAGCGAAAAAAGCTGAACTTGAGGACGAGTTGAGAGATTTCTTACGCATTTGAGAAGCTAACGGTATGCACACACTGAATATTTCTTTCTCAATCGCAAGTATTTCGAGGCGTTTATCAGCACCACTTCATGATATTACTGAGCCATGCAAAATAGAATCATTGTATTTTGTATAAAAGCGGCGTTGACATGTTGTGCTCAAAAGGCGGATACAGATGAAAAGGTATGTAATTACAGCTCTGAAATATGACGGTTTTAGAACGGTCTCGTCTGAATGGATAGGACTCGGCAGACTTACTCTGCATAGCAGCTATATCGGTACTCTGAACGTACTCATCAAATCCCTGGATTTCCTCTTGAAGCTCATCCAAAGAGATCAGTTCATCCTCTGTGCCATTTGAGCAAGGTGTTGCGAAGTCGATAAAAATGATCGCGCACCAATTACAAGAGTGAGCTGCAACTTCTTGATACCGTAACCAACGGCGACAAGCTTAGAAGATCCCCAGACCAGGCCTTCTTTCTGAATGGAGCGGACGGCTTTCTCCAGCTCAGCCATGTCAGTCTCGTCGTCCCAAGGCTTGACATCAAGAGTGACAACAGACTGTGAAGCAAGAATGAATGGCTAGAATGACTATCGGTCCCGTCCATCCAGAAACCCACCTTAGCAGCCACTTTCGGCTTGTGGGCCTTCTTTTCATTATAGGCAGCCAGTCGCTCTGCCCTGATACGCTCTGCCTCCTCATCTTCTTCCTAAAGAAATGTAACGATAAAGGTCAATTCGAGGCTTAGAAGTAAAACATACCTCATCCGATCCAAAAAGATCAATTTCCTCCTCTTCAGCGGCGGATTCTTTGGCGGGTGCAGAAGCACCTGCCCCTCCAAAAAGCGCAGCACAGCCGCTTTATTGCCAGGCAGGGTGTCATGCTCCTGCTCATACGAGGCTATGTGTTCGTACCAGCGAGATGCATGTGGATATTCGCTCGCAGGAGGCGCAGATTTTAAAGCCTTATATACGCCTACATCGGCCTGAGAGGGAGTATAGCTGGGCAAATGAACACGTTCAATTCCAATCGATCGCCAGGGACTCTTAATCCAAAGTTGCTACTCACCCCTCAACGTAAGAGCGTGTAGCAAGGTGCTCCTCAAGTTGTTTGAGATCAGAGAAAGCCATTTGTGTGCGTTAGCAAAAGGTGAAGTTCGATCTTAATTTTTTGTGAGGCCAGTTGGTGGCAGTGCTGAGTCATCGATCGTGCAATATTATTATCTGAGTGTGGGAGAACGGCAACGGCCACAGGCAACATGCGTACGTCCATAATCCAATCGTGACGAGAGAATACTAATGAGGAATGCGGGCCAAGTCATAGTTGTACCGTGAAGATCATGGGAATTATGTTTAGGAGAAGGTGGACGAAGGACACTTTCAAAACCACATCGATACGCTGGCGCTTGTCTCCTCGCTTCTCATGGCATGCCACCAACCAGGAGGGAAGAACAGAAGGTCACCAGGTTCGAGCACAGCACTCATTGCTTGGGGCTGGACATGGCTAAAAAACTTCGGGAACTTCTCTCGAGAACTACTGGTCAGTGAAAAGACGGGAACGCGGCTGGTGTTTGAAAGCATCGATGAGGATGATACGGGCTTTTGTGGTGATCGAGAAGCGACAGGGTCTGAGGTTGCTGCTGGTGCAGGGGGGGTTATTGAAGGTGTGGATTGGGGGAGGATCAGGGAGGCTTGTGTTTCAGATAGGCAGTTAGCTGGTTTCCGTTCAATTGTCAAAGTGGCTTGGCCATCGGCTTTGGTGTTCGGATAGGGGTACATCTCTTCCTTGAAGCGGGTAGGTGCAAGCCACACGGTCTTTTTACCAACTACTTGCACTATTGAAAGGATGTCAGCAAAACAAGTCGCTATCGGACAGCTGCATGACAATTTACCATAACAATTAAAGTAGGGATCCTGACATGAAAGATGCAATTAGCATGGAGTAGAATCACTAGTAATGATACGCATACGATGTGAGCGGGAGTGATTGTCCCTTTGGGTCCTATCCAGTTGTTGATCACTAGATTGCCTTCAACGTTGGGAGGATGGTACTTGAGGAACTGATCAGAAGGCGGTTGAACGCCAGAATAGACATAATCAGGTACGATAATGTCCCCCCGAAGCTCCGGAAACTGATTGATGAGGTCATGTTGTGCTAGATAGTGGCTCGGCCCAGACCATTCCTCAACGGGTGGTTGATTTAGGAGATTTTTATTCAATGGAGGTCTGCCTCGTTTCCTAGGAGCCTCCGGCTGGGGTATAATAGGGTTCCAGGTCGTGAGGAGCTATTAGCCGATGCCAAAGCCGCAATTACAGTTCTAGGCTTGGAATGAAATGTCGACCGCGACACAAAGCATCGAGGAATTCTTCCCAGTCCATTAGTGACGTTGTCCAGGATTCTGAGGTATAGTCCTCCCCAGAAGATGAGATCGTCTCGACAGGCACCTTTCGCCCTAAGCCACCGACGGCTCGAAGGTATTGGGGACTGCACCAATTGGCACATGCCGGCCAGTCTGCTGCATATTTATTTATTATGAAGGGCTTCGTGTAATACCATTCCCGGAAATCCATGGCCGAAGGAGGCTCGAATAGCCGGGGAACGTGGAGACTTGATGATAAAGGTAGTGGGAATTGACGCCCTGAAGTTGGGACCCATGAACCCTGTTCAGCAGGCCGTAAGGCTGCAGTCCGAGCGGATCTCTTTGGACGCTTGTTAATGTTTTGGGTCTCAACTGGTGTCGTGACACCCTCGAACAGGACCGGGTATGGGCTGCCTCCACCGGCGGGCGACGTAGAGGGACCTGCTGGGTCTTTCAGGGGCAGATATTCCTCCTGAATACTCGCGATAGTGTCGTGACACATATCTACCCGCCCTTTCCCTGGGGAATTAGCTATAACAATTGCCTCGTCAAGTCTGCCGACGAGACCCTTATAAAAAAGGTCCGGGTTCGAAGAAGGCTCAAGTTGTAAATCGGCGAGGACCATTAATAATGTGACGTCCGTAAACAACCGTCTCCAGCACCGGGGTACGTCCGTGTGATGGACGGAATGCATTTTTCGATGCGATTCCTCACGGAGAGACTGTAGATTAGTGCGGGCAACAGTCAAATCTATACTGGTGGACTCAAGAACGGTAGCCGGTGATTTAGGACTCGAAGGGTTTGATATTGAATTCCTAGGCGACCTCAGAGGCGCAATAACCTTATTCGGCGTTGACGTCGCGGTTTGAGCAGGCAAAGCTGCCAAAATTGCATTCGTCATTTCAAGCAGGCGCGATATTATGTCTGGACCGCATTCTGCTAATTCTGGGTGGTTTTATGGTTCAAAAATCGCTCCAAAGGATAACCCTATATATTGATTGGGAATCCCCACATTCGATACTCACCGATAATGCTTGGTTCTTTAGCAATTGTATATTGTCCTTTAAACTCGTTGAGAATTTGGGACATCCAGCCTCGCATCTTTGGGGACTGGGACATCGCTATTAACAATATGATTAGTGCTAACTGACCTGACCAATGGCTTCTAGATTCTCAAACTTCAACTTACCAAGTGCTTAATTGACGGTGGCAGCAGAACGTTAATGGAATTGTCCCTCACGTGTGGGTGTCCTCCTCGGAACCAGCCGAATAGCTTAAATTCGTTTTGCAAAACTTCTTCACACGTAACTTTTCCTTCTCGAACGATTTCTCTGCGATGTTTTTACCATGTCATTTTCTTCCCCAGGGGCATAAGATCGCCTTCGTCCCCCCTCATGGCCGTCCCTCTTCACCAATCTCTTACTACCTTTGAAGAATTTCAAGCGCTGATTCGATGGGTCCCGTCATCAACCAGCTTCTGCTTGCCGACCGTTTGCACCTTACAGTGAGTAGCCGTGCCTCTTCTTACTGCCTATGACGAAATCAGGACCAACAATGACACGACCATATATGGAATGTTGATACACCATAGTAGTTTCAGTCTTGTCTGACCTGTCCAGTCGTTCTGGAACATACCGAGCGTCCGTTGCTGACCAAGATTTCTCGCAGGGACTTCCATGTTTCTGTATTCCCGTCATGCCTGTGCCTGCGGCGTCACAGCAAGGTAGGTTCTTTCAGATCGTACTTAATATGATGATTCCTTCGACGGGCGGACAAACTACGGTTCCTTATACCCTTTGTGTACAAAAGTTGGGTGGAGCTGGGGAATGTTGATTGTTGTCGAACATCTGATACTCGTCTTGAACCGTGACTTTATACTTTTGCTTACGATTCGCCTTTTTTCCAGGTACGATGACCATTGTCTTGGTTGAATTTTATTGTATGATTAAGTTTTGTATTTTTTGCCCAACTGTTGGTGTTGCCCCTTGAATTATGATTCTTAATGTAACATCTATTTTTCATTGGAGCTCGTATGGTGAAGCAAGTGCCATATGGCCGCAAGCGAATGGATCGTATTTGAATGCTTCCATCGGTTTCAGAAGTTGTGAATGGGTCTGCCTGAGGCTGCCATCGCCGCCTCCTTAAAGGCCTCACTTAAGGTAGGCTGAAAATTCATAAGGTCAATACTAGATGTGTCCTCGTCCTGAGAGACTTACATGAGCATGGCATGTGCGTGCAACATCCTCTGAGCTCGCCCCGTATTCCATCGCCAATGTTGCTGTGGCAATCATCTCTCCGGCACCAGGACCTGCGCGCGAACAAAATATCAAAGATGTCAAATACGTCTCACATTGGAGAAAGTTCGCGTACCAATGATCTGGACACCGAGAATCCGGTCAGTCTCTTTTTCTACCATGAATTTCACAAAGCCCGCGGTATCACTGTTCGTCTTGGCACGGCTGTTAGCAGAGAAAGGGAAATTGCCAACTTTGTACTGAATGCCAGTATTTTTCAAATCTTCCTCCGTTTGACCAACCCAGGCGACTTCTGGGTGTGTGTAAACAACGGAGGGAATAGCGTCGTAGTTGACATGGCCATGGCCCGTGGCAATAATCTCGGCAGCGGCAACGCCTGAGCAATCAAAGATGTCCAAGATGTCAATGAGCACTCAAAAACTTACTAGACGAGCATTACGAACCTTCCTCTTCGGCCTTGTGAGCCAACATGGGACCAAAGGTTACGTCTCCGATGCATTTAACGTTTTTGACTGAGGTGTTAAACTGATCATCGACCACAACCCGGCCCTTCCCGTCGACTTCAACACCAATGTTCTCGAGATTTAACCCTTTAGTATAAGGACGGCGGCCAATAGAGACGAGAAGAACGTCGCAATCAAGCTGGAGTCATCTCATTTAGGACATAATTATGATTCGATAATTTGCGTACCGTTTCCTCCTTTCCACCTTTTGCAGCTTCGACTTTGACTTGAACGCCGCCATCAACTTTTTCGGCACCAATAACTTTGGTATTTAGCTTGAATTTCATCCCTTGTTTAGTAAGGATTTTCTGGAATGCCTTGCTGAGATAGATTGAGGGATGTGAGAAGCGCGGAAAACAAATGTCGTCTGTGCGTACGCGACTTCACCATCCATCCCAGCGCCACCAATTGCACCGACGAACTCAACGACAGTAACTTCAGAGCCGAGGCGACTCCAAACACTTCCCATCTCGACACCAATAACACCACCACCAATGACAATCATCTTCTTGGGAACCCCCTGAAGCGAGAGAGCGCCGGTAGAGCTTATGATCTGTTTCTCGTCGATCTCAATACCAGGGAATGGCGTAACCTCGGACCCGGTAGCAATGATAATGTTCTTGCCTTCGAGCTCTGTTTCCCCGCCTTCATTCAAATCTACTGCCACCTTTGTAGGAGTAACGAACGAAGCGGTCCCTTTAATGTAATCAACCTTATTCGCCTTAAAGAGCGCCTCAACGCCTCTTGTAAGACCAGCGACAGCCTTATCTTTGTATTTCAGCATCTCTTCTAGATTCAGCGAGACGTTGGACACTGGAAACATTCGGTTACCACAGTGTTAAGGCACCAAAAGACTCAGACTCACCCTCTATCCCCCGGTGCTTCATGTCGTGTTGAGTAGCATGGTAGATATGCGAATTGTTGAGCATCGCCTTGGAAGGTATACACCCAACATTAAGGCATGTCCCTCCAAGGGTCCCCCGCTTCTCAATACAGACGGTCTATATCAATGTACTCAGCGCACAATAAATCAGTGCTTTTACACCCGGGCGTACCTTCAGCCCAAGTTGGGCTGCTTTAATTGCGGCGACATAACCTGCGACTCCTGAGAATGGGATACCGCTCAAGCCTACATGACTTCCGCAAGATAATATAGACGAACCTCCACCAATAACCACCGTGTCATATGGCTCTGAATGAGTCGCCAGCGACCGTGAAGCTTGAATGACACTGACGAATGCACTCTGTAGAAGCGAGGGCCGTGACCGAAGGTGTAAACCTGCCTGCATAGAATTGGGCATGGTACGGTTAAACATGCACGTCAGGAAGTGCTGTAAAGAGAATACGATACCCTTGGCGCACTTCGACGGATAGATTGCAGCATCCTGTGGTGAAGGTTTGGGGATGGGAAGATTTGTTATGATCCACGTGATTCTCTTAGTAAATTTAAATTATGTTTATTGTTATATTGTTATATTGTGTAAGGGACTTTTTGGCCCCGACATGTTACCACTGATGACTCTGGCTCCCGGGCCCGCTCCTACAGAGAGATATTCTGGCGTTGTTCCTATAAGCACCCTTACTCATTGTGATTTCCTCGCATCAGCCAGTGCTGTTAACTTGTGGTTTCAAAAACGTTCGTTAGACCTTCTGACTTTACCCCGAGGTTTATTCCTGGGGTAATTGGCTGTGCCGTAGTTTTGCCTTACCCCACATTGTCTGCTTCCGTCCACGGGCGGAGGGAGCTTCTGGAGCCCGCAGCTCATCGTGCTGTCAAGGTGGAGGCTCATCCGTCAGACGATATCAGGCCTAACTGTGCCTCGCATCACTCCACCCTTTCGACGCCACATTTTAGGCTTCGCAGAGAGTTCCCCCTCCTTTCACGTTCGCCCCATGTCCTCCAATCCTTATCACTTCGCTTGGAAGTCTGCTATTCATAGGTTCGCTGCCTACGACCGCTTTTATGTTACCATTGTAACTTCGGTTTGAATCCCTTTTGCAATGAGTCGGACGCGGGCAATTGGTTATCTCTGTTAAGGGAGGAAAAAACAACTGGTTTATGATCGCGGTACTGCTCACTTCAATGCTGTGCTATGCGGAATCGAAATTCCCGCTACTCTGTAGCGGGTCTTGCGCGCTTAGACTGAATACATGAGCAACCGTTATTGGTTATTTACCTCATCTTTCTGACACTCAATATTCCCGCTACTCCGTAGTGGGTCCTGTGAATCTTTGCGACGCGAAAACCCTATCTATGGCCGCGCAAGAGGTCCTCTATCATTGTCAATGCATTCCCCCTAGGTTACCAGGGTCCTCCTTATATGCGGCCGAACTTGCCTCCACCTCCACTTTCGCGTCCCACCTCCCCACATTCTGCTCCCGATTAGCTCTAGTGTAACCTTCATCTATTCATATCGCGCTCGACTCCGTTCGCTTCTGTTCGCTTCCAAACCCTAAATCCAGAGTTGTCGGGCAGGGAGTTTTGCTTTTCATGCGCAAGTCGAGATCGCTAATAAAGGGCGTGAGGACACTGAAAACTGACTGCGCCCTTAGTTGTGGAAGCCTGCATCGTTGCTTGTGTTCTCGCTCACGCTGACTCTGCTAACTTCTTGGGTGCTATTCACCCTGGGTCGGTGGCTTACCGCACTGCAGTGGTGTCAAAACGGTCAGTCTATACGTGGTACTTCACAATGATCGCAACGCACCGGCCAAATACGACTTTTTGGGAGTGACCACCATGGCCGATGTTGGTCCTTACGGCAATCAGCGTGCCGCGCCTTATAATGCATGGCACGAGCAAGGAGTTGGTCCTCTTTCCCCTCTTGTATTCTTTGATTCATCACTTACAATGTCCGGCAGCGCACCAAGTTATGTATCAATTCAGGTGGTATGCCCAACGGCTCCACCTAAAGTGAAGAGGGCAATAGTGTGACGGAAGAAGGGGCTATGCCTTCCGTGTTTTAGGGAATAACTTACGGCGCGTTTAGACATTCTCCGAGGATGGTCCTGCCTTGTGTCCCTGCACCTTTGCGACGTTCGTGTCGTCCAACTGCAATTGGATCATAGAGAAGCCGCTCAGGTGGTCCCCGCGCCCGGACTGGACCCTGAGTACTGATTAAAAACCTGGTCGGAGGTGACGTGCCTGTTGTCGGGGACCCGATATACCAGCTATGCAGTGTCAGGTAAGGTGGCGAAATTGCCAATTCGCTTATTCCGCTATTCGTTCGGACACCACGCCGGCCGCCCTCCATAAGAAGGTTACTCAACACAGCTTCACAATAAGTGAGGGGCCCTTCCTTGCTAATTCGCTCTTTACATGGTTGAGTCTCCGCTCGAAGCAGTGTTACAGCAGTATTAGTTGATTCCCGGAACTCACGTCGCTACCCAGCAAGGGGTCTAGGGATTTAATCGCACTCAAAACCCTTTCTTTGTTCTTAAACGCAACGAACAAAAGGCTTTGATTTTTTGGCTTTCGTGATGCTGTTCGAGCGTATGGGTCCCTGAAAGACATTATATCTTCAAATCAGGACCCATTGCACTATCCCTGCTGCCTACGGTGACACCACCCCTATATTACAAAGCAAGGAGGGCCTTCAAGTCCGAGCCTTAGGCATTGTTGGTTGTTAGAGCTTTGGAGGGCCGATTTAAGGCTCGCAGACATGACTGCACCGGTCTGCCAGTTCGGAGTTTGATTATGGCCATGATTACGATCGCGCCGATAATATCTTTCAAAAACAACGCGCCTATTGCCACTGCACACTCTGATCATTGCGTTCGGTCAATATCTTATTAGGCATTTTTGTATCTTAATCCCTGGTGGTCTCAGAAACCTGCACGATCGTATTCTCAATGATTGGACAGCATTCTATCTCACGTGCATGACATTCGTTTTGAGACTCGTTCTTCACATCTGATAATGGCTTCCGTTGCTGATCGCATGGTGGATGCTGTGGCTCGACTATCCATAATTCCTCGCTATTTTCTTTCGGCTACCTCCTTGGACAATTTTTCTCACTGGCCGCCTTCGTTGTTGCCACTTTTACCTCTAGTCTCTGCTCGCCTTCCTGAGCAGGCACGTTTTGCGGAATTCCGGCCACATCCGGGGTGCCTGCTGTGCTCCACTCCTACGTTGCCTCGTGGGCGATTAATGCGCTACTGTCCAGGAAAGTCGCCCACAAGATTATCGTCATCAAGCGGTGACTTCCCCCGATGCAGTGTGGACTCGGATGTGTGGTGGGATCTCATTTTTATTAGCCGCGATCGTTTCTAACAAGAGGCCCTTGAACCCATGGTGGCTTGTTGGAGGATGTTCCCCTGTTGATGGCCTTACCCTACCTCTTCATTGTCTCTGGACCGGTCTCGTAGGATGGATTGTTGGTACTTGAGCCATAGTCCCTTGTCATTTCCAGGACTATTTCTGCTTTGTGTCACACGTGGCACGTGGCGGCAAGAGTGTGAAGTTTTGTTCGGCGTTCCTCTCTTTGTCGTCTGCTTATCCACATTGTTGATTTCGGTTCCTTGATTCTACTTTTGATTGTACGATGGCCGATGGATGGATGTTCTTATGTCATTGTGCATATGCCAAACCATGTCGGTGACTGTCCCAGGGTGTTTGAAAAAAAAACAGGTGTCATGGATCAGTGCTGGTTGTCTCCGCGGAGTTGGCCGGATTTATTGTATTCCATACGCGGAGCGGGACACACGTTGTGGCGCTGGAAATATTGCTGCCTGTAGTGCGTTGGGTTGACCATCATCGTGGCTACTTCTGAGCTGTATTGAATAACGGTAACCTATCGGCCGCCTAACCTGAGCCGTTGATTGTCCTTCCGATAATTATCGCCTCATCAATAACCATTGCTTTGGGCACAACTGTCCCGGTTTGTAACCATATTGGTCCCAAATTGTTCCAGCACCGGCAGCAATGCCCCACTAGTGCCATACTACCATTCCCTGGATTATTTATCCCACACAAACCTATTATCGCCATTGGTGTGTCTGAGATGTAAGATCCCCGGTGGAATTATCTCTGATCATATCGATCGGCTATGCACGGCCTGCCCACCAAGTTGGCGTTATCTCCTCCCGGGTTTTGGGTCTACGTCATCAACTCCTCGGGTCGGGAACGAACAGCGCCGGACTGATTTGCCTTTCTCCTGGCTTTGATGCCTCCCAATAGTGTCATTGTTTTGTCCGAGGGCGCCTCTCACGCGCTTCGTCGGATTTTTGAGTTGATTCTTGCGCGATTTCGTTATCATCGGGTCGGGCCGGGCTAGTACGTTCCTTCACATCAATTGCAATTTCACTTCAGCATATAGGCAAAGTATACGGTACATCTAGTTCATCCAAGCGTGTAGGAGGCTGGTTATTGTTCCCTGATGTCTGATTGTTCGGCACCCCCAACCTGTTTTAGGGTGGCTCTATAAACCCGTGTCCCCTATATGTGTTGTTTTGCCCTCCAGAGGCGGCTTAAAAATCCATTCATCAGTCAGCAACGGTGACACCGGTAACCTAACGTGAATCTCCAGGCATTGGCCTATCTCTTATATCAACAGTGTCGTTCACAACCAGGCGCAGGGTTGCGATTATTACGCCGTCTTCATTCGAACGTTGCTTTCCGGCCGTGCCAACATAAATGACTCATTGGCGGCACTCGAAAAATAACAGGGTAGCCGTAATTCCTCAAGTTTTCTCCTCGCCAAGTCAATGTGTGTCGGTCTGGAGGATTAGATGAAACCGACCGATTGACTCTGCCGTGGCCAGGAACAGAAGACCGAAGTGTTGCCCGGGATCTGATTGTGGGAAACAAATCGAAAAAGCCGGCCCCTTGTTTATATTCTCCATAAGATACCGGTTTCCTATGGGATCTTGCCATATGAGCTGTGGGGCCAAGTACTTAAATCTCTTGTTCCATGCTTGATTCCAGACATTTGCTCATCCGTCACTTCCGTTATTCTCAATGGCCATGTATAAGTTCGAGAACGTCTGCGCTATGTCCTTTATCTTGAGTCTGTCCAAGTATGCTGATGGTTTACATGTTACAGGTGCAGCTAGGTAAGGACGCAAGACACGAAGACCACCCCCTCGTTCGCTTATGATAACGCTCAAAGGACCACTCACGGTACCCCGCGTATGGGTCGGCCTTTGGCAACTTGCGGGACCTGCATGGGGAACTGCCCCAGCATCCAAAGTGAGGGCGGAAATGAATCGCCATCTTGAGCAAGGCTTCACCACATTTGGTAAGGTATCTTCGAGGAGCTTTTTCTCTTATCATTGCTTATCGTAGTTCCCAAAGACATGGTTCGTTTTCATTCCAGTCCTCCAGTACGGCACTATTAACTTCGAGGTTCCACCACATCGGCCATCTTGCAGGGTACGTTCTAACACGAATACCCAGACTACGCCATGCTCAAGTCCTGCCATCTAGCGGACCATTATGGGAGTTCAGAAATGATTTTCGGTCAATTTAGAAAGTCTAGACTCGCAACATCGCAGACCCTTCCTATCGGCGCCACCAAATGGTGCATATTTAAATCCCCAACCTCACCTTACACTCGGAAACAAGTCGAAGACGCCATCCGCGAGCGGATAAGCAGAATGAAGAGTGATCGCCTTGACCTGCTTCAGATTCATTGGCAGGATTACGATGATCTGACATATATTGAAACCTTACAACATATCGTTGATATCAAGCGAGAAGGCAGAATACGAATCGATGCTCTGGGGCTAGTGAACTTTGATGCTAGGCGCGTAGACGAGATTTGCGAATTCCTCGGGGAAGGAGAAATTATCACAAACCAGGTTCAAGTAAGTCTCATTTCTAAGAAAACGTTTTCTAGAAGAATGAAGGCATTGCCTCAGTTCTCTCTTGTGGACACACGGCCACTGCATGGCATGGCAGTTGTATGTGCGAAGCATCGTGTTAAACTACTTACATACGGAACATTGGTGAGCTTTTCATTTGTCATTCTAGTTTTTTTTTTCGCACATTCATGGTTATCAGTGCGGAGGTTTTCTTTCAGATAGGTGGTTGGAACAACCACAGCCAGATCCATATTTTGACCCATTAACTCCATCACAGCGGAAGGTATTTATAATAACTAATTCATATCACCGTAGTCGAAACGTTTCTCAACCTGTTCTGCAAGTATCTCGATGTCATTCTGGGGCTTGGGGGGGCTGGGATCTGTTCCAGTCACTTTTGTGTGTTCTGCGAGTAATCGGCGACAGACACGGTGGATTAAGCATATCAAACGTCGCCACTCGTTGGGTGCTGGACCATCCATTTGTCGCTGCTGTCATAATAGGTGAGTACGGAAAAGCAACCATCTTTCGCCTGCTGCAAAGTTAATGCTCCGGTGATTAGGTGTTCGACTGGGCGTCGCGGAGCATAAGGATGATAACTCCCGAGTGTTTGGGTTCCGCCTTTCGCCAAAAGATAGAGCCGATATCGAGGAAGTGCTGGATCGTTCGAACGGGCATAACTTGATTCATACGATAGGAGACTGTGGCTCTGAGTATCGCTGAGAGTCTTCTCTCCCGGTATTGTTGCAAGCGCTCAGGCTGCTTCGTTTTATTCATGTCACATTTAACCGTTATTAGCACGTTTCTGATCCACGTTGCTGCAAGATCCATCATGTATTTGGCGTGCGCTTGACAGGACAATGTGATCACCCGCGCATTTTTCAATATGTGGTCATGTATTCGGCAGTTCTTGTGCACGCAACGAGGGATTTGAACAGGAAGATATGATAAAATATCAAAGTGAGCAGGAATTTTGCGGTACGCTGGGGGTATACACCATCGAAACTTGGGGGGCAAGATAAAGATATTAATGAGGTCATCAGCAGGCAGTGAAGCACGCACTTGTGGCTGAAAGTGAACAGCTATGACGTCGGGGTCGCTAATCGGTCACCTGAGTCGTTCACGGGGTTCACGGCATGGAAGTCTCGTTGCATGGAGGGTTCATTCAGTAGAAGATCGATGTCCAGCCGACAGGTAAAGTTGAATCTGGAAATCCTTAGATACCGGCTGATTGTCAAATGCTAAAGCTGTGCACCCACTGCTTTCGAGAAGCTAACAACTGATTATTCGAGAGACGAGGACGGGTTTGCTAAGGTAGTGAATAAGTTGAACAAGATATTTTTGACCGGACGGAGAACGAAACCGCTAGGCCATAATTTCTCCACGATGCTGACTATGCCACTTCCGAGCTTGAGCTTGAGTGTCATACACAAATCACCTTGAGGCACCCATCGGAAGAGAGTGGCTCTGAACCAACTTATGGCGCGAGCTGGTTAGATTCTATTGATGACGTTCGTGTCGTTAAGGAGGCAAGAATCCTGTTCAAACTCCACGGAGATCGTACTATTTGTTGTGATCGAAGCCGACGAGTATCGTGCAAAAACATGCGAGTCGAAGGATTGGCCCGAAGCATGCGTAGCAATCCAGGAGAAGCATGAGTCACGCAGAACACGTACCAGATGTTCGGTTGAGTTGCGACGCAGGTGCTTCCCATAAGCTCAAAGTCTAGATCATGAGGAAGAGTACTGGAAGGCGTTTCCTCGTGTTCGAGGTGAAATGCGGTTGAGAGGCGATCTTCTCATGCACTCCGCTACAAGAGTGTCGCCACTTGCATGATTTCTTAAAACAATTTATGGCTAGATGCGCAGTCTCAGTCTCGAGTAGGGGGACTGAGGGGGGGGGGGGGTGAGAGATTATGGCGCACAGCGTGTCTTATACAATATCCATAAGCCGGAAAAGAGAATAACATCACGACAACGTAAATTGATAACAATTGATATCGGCGATACCTCGCATCGATATCGCGTTTGTAAAACTAATAAACAATAAAGCGTCGTCAGCCATGGTGATTAAATGATCTTACAGCAGAAATAATGAGAGACGTGCATGGACGTCTCTCCTGGTCGAACTTCCTCCGTCGTTCGAAAGTTTCTGTAATCACTGTGGATTGGGCATTCTTGAGGGTATGGTTCTTCATCCTTGCAGCAGCAGCAACTCGGATCTTCGTCTGGGCGACTTTTACATGGAAGCCATAATGCTTAGCTCGGCATCGTACCTGCAGCCGCATCGGGGAAGGAGAGGAATGGCCTTTCTTTCTCCAGTAATAAGTGTGATTCCCTTTGAAATTTCCATCTCCCGGTGTGTATTTGACCTAAACCTAGTAGCAGGGCAGACGCTTGCATCAAGAGTGCATGGTATCAGCTTTGTGATTATTGAAATCGGGCTAGGGATGTTGCTATGTAGTAGTCACGGGAGGAGCCCCGGTATTGTCTGAGGAGAGTGACAGCAGAAGTTGGCTTTCTTCTGGGAAGTGCCCTTTCGAGGACCCAAACGGCGACTCACGAATTGCAATGCCGCAATGGTAGGCCGGATTGCGAGCGCAATAAGATATTGCCACAACAATTGTTCGTATTAATGCCGATGCCGAGTCACGTGCTTAGCCACGTTCCCCCTGCCCGTTCTTGCTCGCATGAAGTCTGCACCTCGTCAATATCGTGCGCCCTCGGGAACACCCACACTTAAACCACGGCGTTCTAGCGCTGTCGCTGGCGTCAGTGAAATTTTTGGCGTCGCCGTAAATTCTCCGCTCCCTAATTCGGCTGCTTCAACTCTGCGATCCAGTCCACTCCGCCACGAGATTTATCGGGACGATTCCACATCTTCGACGAACATAGAAGACGGGATGTCAGTGTCGTCTCGAAAGCGTGGACGTGATGATGAGATTGCATCGGTGACCTCCATCCAGTTTGGGATTGAGGAACCACTATCCCCCACCTTTTCCGCTGCTGATTCCAACAAAAAGTCGCGTCTGAAAGACCTAGACACAACTGAGGCTCTTACTAGCGAATTGATTCCTGAGCCTATTCCTATCCCTTCTGTTCCTGTCTCAGAGGACGCAAGTGCGCCATCATCCGCACCAATTCGTTGGTTTGGCTCCCTGTCACGGAAAATAAGCCGCCCGAACGTGTCATTGTCAGTTCCTCCTACCGTTTCGGACTACACTATTCCTCCTGAGCCTGCAGTGATTGCCACTCGCAACTCTCACATCGGGCCTCCTCGAGAAGTTTCTACTGAGGCCACCCCAGACGCTTCGATCGCTTCCGTCCCTTCAACTGGTGTATACGAGAATACCCGATCGGAATTGTCTATACGAAGTGGAATTACAAGTTGGTTTTCGGGGAATGGGAGTGCACGTTCAGTATCTGTCGCCACACAAGCGTCTACCAACGAGGCGCAGCCCCCCACGTCCATATTGTCCGAGGCCAAGGAAACTTCCCCGTCGGCTCCTGGAGCAGAAACCGATACTTCTGCACCTTTTCCTGAGAATCCATCCTCTGGTACGTGATACATGTGTACTCGAATATCTCATTCTTACATGACTTGTCGAATAAGAAGTTACCGAGTCTGGCGAGCCACCCCAACAGACTGACGAAGGCGTCTATGTTCCTAACGCTCAAGGTCGGACTTGGTTGTATTCACTTCGTTAAATATTGACTTCTTTCGTTCCAAGGGAATTTGGATGATCCTAACAATCCTACTGTCCCTACTAGTTTGTCCTGGTGGAGCTATCTTGGCCTAGGATCGGATAAGCCTCTTCCCCATTCGCCGGCTCCACTTCCTGTAGAGAGCAAAACAGACTCATCAGTGCCTGAAATGTCTTTAGCGGTCGATCGAGAAGCAAACGATGCTGCGGACAAAGCAAATGCTGCGCTTGGCTTCAACACTCAGACACCCACGCAACCGGATGTTGATGAGGTTCCACCTCCTTCGATTGCATCTGCAGATACAGCTTCGCAAGTCTCTTGGTTTGGATATATGTGGGGAAAAGGCAGGGCAGCTCCAGACAATCGTACAACTGGAGAGCAGGACCCAGCTGCAGCCGAAGCCGTAACACACACGTTAACTGAATCTGAACGCATCAAGGAAGAAGCACTTGCCCGTGAGGTGAGCAAGAATACAATCGAGACAGCAGCATCGGGAAGTGTAGTCGATCCTGTGTTGAATGTGGAAACGAAATCGGCGTGGATCTCTTTTTTTGCGCGAGGCCGTATGCCTGTCAAAACCATCAAGAACGAGGATCGTGCCACGGAGCCAATGGAAGTAATGGACATTGATGAACCAGAGGCACCTTCGACTGTCGTTCCGGTTACGTCGCCGGTAGTCCAATCTGGACTGACGAACTTGCCTGTGTCCAAGTCGAAAGAACTTCCGCCGCCGTCTACGTCGTCTAGAGTTCCTAGCAGCCCAAATTCTCCTAGTGCCCCCGCCAGAAAGGGGCCCTCGGATCCTCGGCGCGGACCAAGCGGACCGCGTGCCCCTAATTTGGTACTTCCGACTTGGGGAGACACATTCTTCGCCCCGCCTCGAGGTTTCCCGCCGTCTGCAGGTTCCACGCTGAGGAGAACATTGAACGTTGTCAGTCGACTATTGACACACGCGCCTTCGATTGATCCGGAACTAGAGGAGTATCGGAGAGAAAGGGTGAAACGATACTTTTCTGGTTCTGCATTCCGTCATGACACTAGTACTAGTCAAGCCTCTGATTATGAGGGGAGTCGCCGGGGAAAAGTGTTGGAAAGGACTTACCACGAGCGTGGAACGTTCTTGAAGACCCCAACGGCCTCGCGAACAGGATTGATGTGAGACGCATTGTCGTCATAGGCATCCATGGGTAAGTGCTTGTTCAGTACAAGCTCCGGTCAATATTTGCCTCGCTATTCTTCCGTGCTGATCGTGTTTTTTTTTCTTCTTTTTGATACTTGGACCAACGATTACGGTTCAAAATGTGATCTATGTGGATGCGGAAGGTGGTTTCCCGGTGAGTGTCTTGATCGGCCGATGGTATTCTTTTCTGATGATATCTATTTGTGCCGGTCAGGGGTGATAATGAGGAGGGTTCTCGGAGGTGAGATGTCGTAATCTTTTTCACCTCTTTCTTATGCAAATCTTTATTGATTGCTGCTGTTGATGACCTCGAAATGATGTCATTGTCATTCATCTCAGAGCCTACAGGAACGAGGTTCGTTTTCTTTTGGTGCGTCGATTCGAGAGGATTATGTCTAATCCGACGTTTGTTGCCGGGTTTCACCCATTTTTCCCCACGGCAACTGCATTAGCAAGAAATTCGCCGACATGATGGAGACCGCAATTCAAGAATTCGCGAACAAGCGAGGGATGAAGAACCTCGAGAAGATAACAAAAATCCCTCTCGAAGGAGAAGGTTCCATAGAAACTCGTGTCAGCAAGTAAGAGCAGAGTTAATGTTTCTTTCCTACTTTCCTCCCCTCCGTTTCCCCATAAGCTAACGCCTTTTCCCTTCACTCCCACCGCCTGATATCTGACGTTCGCTTTGCCAAAGGCTATTCCGCCATTGGCAAGAAAACCCGGAATGGATCGATGACCTGCATAAGTAAGCTAATAATTTCTCATCTCTTCATTGGCGAGGCCACTGACCCCAAGCTTTCCATATTAACTGTTGCCACATCTCAGCGCTGACGCTATTTTTATCGCCACTCACTCCCAAGGATGCATTGCTTCCACCCAACTATTGGATCGTCTTATCGCGGACGGACACATCAACACTGGAAAGAACTGGGAGGCGGTGGTCCGTGCTGGGGATCTCTACGGTTTTATGCCGAGAAAAGACCCTCAGCGCCTGTGCCTTCTCGGTCTTTGCGGCGTCCATCATGGCCCTCTCTATTGGCTCAACAATTCAACAGTGGTGAACCCATACATTACGTATTTCGAGTCTCCCGCTGCTCGCGAACTGTTTGAATTCCAGGTAAGCGAGCCAACCCTCCAGATCCATCACGGATGATGAATGTAATTTGGCTTTGACGCGCTCATGAAAGGATTCAGAGAGCGCAGCATCCATTAACTACACTGTTGCTTTGCGGCGTGTACTTGATCATGGGGCTAAAATGGTCTATGTTGCGTCATTAAATGATCAAGTAGTTCCGGTGAGCCCCTTTTCTTGCATTCCCGATTCTCTGAAGATTAATTGAGCCCTCGTAAGATTTACTCCGCTTCTTTCACCGCCGCGTCCCACCCCTCGATTCTCAGAGGGTTGTATGTTGACGGGGATGCCTACAGGTAATGTAATGTGGGATCCCAAGCCCGGCTTGTCTAAACCTTTGTTCGCGTCGTGGTCTTACCCAGCTCGAGTGATTTCCTGTCGAATCTCATTGTTATGCTTCTTCGAATACGGAATGCAGGGCTCGATGATGGCGGCCTACTGGTCCAACTCTCCGAAGCCACCGCAGGATCACTATCGTGAGTATTTCCATCTACACAATACCGCCAATTTCTTACGTAACTGTTTGTGTGCCAAAGTGGCGTAGGGCATAGGTAGGTTCTCTAAGATCCTGCCAACTTAATCTGCAGTGTCTGACGCAATCGATAGCACGGCGTACGAAGAGCTAGCGACTTATAGGTGAGTACTAGAGGTGATGGGCTTTTTTGATTCCTGGACCTTTTTGGCAATGGCTTTCCAACTTAGTCTCGCCGTTCGCTTCTTATTTGAAACGAATGATATTCAAGTTCCTACAAGCCTCAAGCTTGAACCTTTCCAAGCACGTGCACCACGGAACGATTATGCGATACCTTGGTCGTTGCGTGGCTTGATCGAGGACCGCCGGATTGCGTTGTTGTTCGCGCCAGAACTGGAAGAATTGCGAGGAGCATTTGATCAGTGGCAACCCAAAACATCGATCCTCAGAGATGTGCGGCGCAAATTGGAGCCGATTCGCCAAGGTCCCAGGAAAGGCCCTGCTGTGGGTTCAAGCCCTGACCCTGACCCCAGCAGCCTCTCTTCGGGTGATAGTTCGCGTGCTGTTGGCAGCAAGCTGTGATGATATCAGGTGAGCTCGCTGTAAAGAGGGGCAGAACGCATGTTTTTAATCTAACGCGGATATGAAAGTTTCCTGTTTTAAGTAGACGTTATAAAGCAATATTCGGACTATTGGTCCAGTTTTGGGAATCCCATCCCGCTCCTAAGGCGGGGCGCATACATTCACCTTTCATTTTTCTTCATTGCTTATGCGGCGCGTTTCGCAACCCTTGATAGGGGGAGCCAACCCTAGTAGCATACACTTACCCTTCCCTAGTGATGGAGCATTCTCTTTCCTTTGTTTTCCCGAGGCTACCCAACCACATATACAACCCTCGCTCAAGCATTAATTTGCCACAAGAACTTCAACCAGCCGTTCTATTACTGCACTGTATTGCACAGCTTTTCCAATATTGTACAAATCAAGTCGTGTGCACGCATGTATTACGAAGGATTCCGAGTATATTGGACCTGTATGGGTTCATATAGCCGGAGGGGAGGCATCTGATCTCCTCTCTGGGGCAGCTTGATATACATGGATTTGCACAAAAAGCGCATGGATAAGATCGATCATTCGGTTACCCACTTGCAAGGTTCAACGAAGGGTGGACCCCGATACATACAATCACAATGATCGGGCTGTCTGGATGGGCGCGGAGTGACGGATCATTGCGGTCGCGCTGTTGCTGTCGCACCGCGAGAAGTGAACGTTGGGATACTATTATTTTGGGGTAACTATAATAAGGGGCGAAAATGCACAAAGAGGTATCTAGCCATGCATGGTCAAAAGATTTCGTATCACAAGACTAGTAGCATTTAGTAAAGAAGATACCGCGTTTCGTGACGAAAGGCGGGAAGCCGCGGAGCTGCAGCAGATCAAGATTGGAGAGTGGAAGTAGAAATAGAATAGTTCAAAGTTGGTAATAATGAATGATCAACTGACCCAGTCCAATGATTGTAGAAGGTCATGGAAACGTGACGGAAACCACCACCAAAAAGTATGGCAGTTATACAAACTACGAAAGAGAAAATGACCATGATGCTTGCGATGCGGATGTGTGTGCGTGGACTTGGTGCATGAACAATGAAATAGAGAGATGCTTATAGAGATTAAGCCGATTTAACCGGAGATAGTGTGGAGGAAACTTTTTGGAGAATAGTGGATCCAAGGGCAACATGCAAGAACTAAAAGAGGTAAGTGGAATCCTTGGAGTGCCTGCTGGGGGAGCATCGATGGCCCATCCCAGAAGAATTCGACCTTCTATGTGTCCTCTCTTTTTTCCGGGGGTTGTCTAGACATTCCTTCGAAAAGCATTGCGTAAGAGGAGGACCATCGATGCGATTTGATCTTCCAGAGTTCAAGTGACCGTATTCGGCTTTAACGGTACTCTGCACCGCAATCTCCCATCGTGTGGATGAGCCTCGGGCCGTTGGACTGTGCTAAGACGGTCGAGATGATATGATTGTCTTCAGCCGTCAGATGGAAACCAGTCGTGATGGTCCGGGCATTGTCTTCACGATGCTGGGCTACTCCGAGTCGGGCACCTACAGCGGATGTCCATGTGTGTCAGTTCAAGTCATTAAAGAGAGATCATGAGGCCATAGGGTACGGAAAACTCGAAGAAGATGAAGGGACCCAAGAACGTCCAGGCGTGAATTAGCAGGCCGAAAGGGAGGGGCCGCCGAAGAAGTCAGAATCGTATGAAAGATTAAAGAAGCTGGAATTTGGAGCACGGAACTTGGGAGCACTTACCAACAATGACAGCCCCTACAAAAGGATGATCCAGCACCCAACGAGTAGCTACGTTCGCGATACTCAGGCCCCCATGGCGATCTGCAATCGTTCGAAGGGTTGCGAGCAAAGCTTGAAAGAGATCCCAAGTTCCCCATCCGTCGGTGATGACGTCGAGATACTGAACGAACCATCACACGATTAGGCGAACGTAGACGCGGAGCCAACGAAATGGGTGAGACAAGGATGGCTCATATAAGGACAAAAAAGAGGAGCTTCGAGCTTACCTTCCGCTGAGAAGGCGTTATTTTATCCTTATATGGGTCTGGTTGAGGCTTCCCTAACCAGGAATCAGAAAGGAATCCACCGCACTGGGACGTGATTCGCCAATCATTAGATTAGATATGATCAACACGAAAAAAGCAGGCCGGGGCGTACCAACGTGCCATATGTCAGGAGCTTAACGCCGTGTTTCTTACATACAGCGGCCATGCCATAAAGCGGCCGGACATCGATCAGAGAGAACTAGTGGATATAATCTCAGTCAGTTCCGAGTGGCGGTAATAAACTGGTCACCCACCTGCACTTGATTCGTAAGAAGTTCACCGGGGCCGATAGCTTCGCAGATTTCGTTGACATGTCGAGAGTCAAAGTTGACGAGGCCTAAAGCCCTGACTTTGAGCTCGCCATCACGTTTAATATCAACCAGGTATCGGAACACGTTGAGATAGTCGAGGTCATCATAATGTTGCCAGTGTACTTGAAGCATGTCAATCGTGTCCCCCTTGGTTCTGCGCATACGTTCACGCACAGCGTCCTCTACTCGGGAACGGCTAAATGGGATGTGAGATTCCGTGAATATGCACCATTTTGTAGCGCAGAGCGGTGGGGAAGGATGCAATGGCAATGAAGGTCGTCTGCTTGACCGAAAGGTTATTTCATCCTGGTCGAAGATATTGTTATCCGCTGACAATACGGCTCGACGAAATTGGCCAAAGAGTATCTCTGCAGAGCCATAGTGGTCGGCTGTGATCGCAGGAGACGGATAGGAGAATCAGGGGGAAAAAAACGAGGTACACGGTGAAACAAGGTGTTCGTACCCTAATCGACGCGCGAGGGAAAGCAACATCCGACACGGAAAGTAAAAGATACGTTTGATGAACAAACGCTAAAATCGAAGAGATAGGAGTCAAAATACACTTGCCATATCTACAGAGCAGTGGATTCAGTGAGTGAACATGGATGGTGTAGGTGTACTCGGCGCACCAAAAGTCGTGAATCCATGAAGATAGTGCTGGTTCATCTCCGACTTGACTTTGGACACAGGGGCAGTGCCCCATGCAGGAGATGACAATTGCCAAAGCCCGATCCAGATGCGAGGGACGGTGAGGGGCCCTGATTACAAGTGTGAGCACAAGTTCGGCATGCGTCGGCTTGAGAGGCGCGTAAAGCAAAATGGAATAGAAAGGGAGCTGATGCATACCGAGGTCGATCTATGACAGGAGATACATTAGCTGGGTGATAACATGTGGCAACGATAAAGTGCGGACTGACGGTCTCGAGGGGGGGCTGGAGCATTGTTGAGGGAAGGGCGAAAGGGATGGATGGATGAAGTATGAGAAGCCAGACAAGGGTGGATGGGGGTAGACGAGGGTAGACGAGGGTAGACGAAGGTAGACAAGAGATGGCAAATTACTTGGACCAGATGTCCATCACCCACCAGTCATGAACAAGAAAGCTGGAGTTGCCTTGTTTGGTACTCATTCAACTATCCGGTGTTCAAACTCGGCAACTTAAGCCCACTCTTTCATTATTACTTTTGTGCCATTTATGATTATTTGCTCTTATTACTTTATCCTTTGCACATGAGCAAAAGAATTTTCGCTAATATGTAGATGATGCGGCAAGTCGAAATTCAAAATTCCTAGTCTCTGCTTTTCCCCGTCTTTCCTCCACCCGTGCTCGCTTTTCTTTTTCTGCCTAGTTCGCCCCCGCCTTCGGTATTGTTTTGTTTTGTTTTTCTTTCGTGTAATTGCCCAGTTAAGGAATCACGATGGAAATGAAATCAAAAATAAAATAAAATAATAAAATGGATATGTACTAGTTGAACGAAAAAGAAAGCGAAATAGAACTCGGTCGTAATCTCCAGATCCAAGTCTCGTGTCTAAACCTTTTCCAGGTTTCCGGGTCTTATCCCATCCCTGGCGCGCTTTTCCAACCCTCCTTTTAAGGACGCACTTTAGAGGTTGCAACGCACTCAACTCATCTCCCTCTTTTCCTGCACCGACTATCCCTCCTCCACGGCAATGCCGGGCTTGAGTATGCCTTCACCGACTCAGCAGCCCCTCGCTCCCATTGGTCATGTTGGCCTCATGATTGACACTTACATCGCCAACACAAACCTCGAAGAGTACGCTTTCTCTTCCTTTTGTTGCCCACCCGCTGTGCCTTACTGACCTTCTACTTGATAACAGTCTTCGTGCCGTCGTTCGTGCACTCCTGGTCACCGGGCCGCCAAATACGACCACTGCCTTCCAAAAAGTAGTCAAGCAGCGACTTCGGCGTCAGCGTATGAATGATCTTTCATCCCTACCCCCACCAGGCACCCTCTTCACCCCCTACGCCAACGGCCCTTACTCTTCCTCATCTTCTGCATCATCCTCAGCCTCCTTGCCTTCCGCTTCCTCTAGTCCGGAGCCGCCACATTTCACTCCGGTAGTAGCCGATCTCCTCAGTCGCGCTCGTGCTCTGTTTGGCGCTGGGCTTGGCTTACAGTCTCTCCCCATTCTCACCCTTCTCATTCATGGAACACACAATCTTCGTTGGTCTGAAGATGGGCAATTCGTCGACACGCTTGCTATTGTCGATTCAGATATTTCTCAAGCCATCCAATCTTCTCTGGAGGAAGTCACCACGTCGAATTTTGATAACCTAGTAGGCGGAATTGAGGAAGGCATAGCAGCCGTCATGGAACTACAAAAGGCCCTCAAAGATTGTGAAACAGAAGTTGAATCCTGGGGTGGAGAGTTTCCCTTCCAGCGTGGTCTCGCCAATGTCGAGTCTTTTGTGGAGAACGAAGTGTGGCTAAAGGCGACTGAAGCAGTACTGGGTCATTGATTGATCATATTGACATTCACGACCCTATCCTTCTCTTTTTCTTTCTATCATGTCATAGCAATATCCATTCTGCGCTTTTTTCGATCTTCTCGGTTGATCAGGTTATCCTGTTCCCAGTCATCTTGCTTTCGTTTAAATTTCTCATTTGGTTACCTTCTTGCATAGTACTGTCAGCCTGGGCTTGCTAATTCTGTTTCATGACATCGAGTTTATAATCATCTGCATCAAACTTTGAATGCACGCTTTTCCCATTATCGAGCTGAAACCTCAGGTGCAAAGCGTTCGAGTGGAAAGTTTTTATTGTAGTCGGCCCAATACAAGAATAATAAAGCATCCAATGGAATTGACGATATCAGTGCCTGGTAGACCTAGACAGCCACGAACGCAAGCGGCATGTTGTACCCTCAGCCCTGACGGGTGATTGTCCAGCCCCTGGACTAGAACCATCCCTAATAGAATCAACAAAATGGTCGGCTGCCATACCTTGTGGTTGAATACATTCGGCAGCTGCCCCCTAAATCGCTAAGACACGCAGGGCTGTTTTGGATCAGGAGTCAGAAAGTAAAACACAGGCTCCTTACAGAAGTCAGAAGGTTGTCCCACAACGGGTGGCACCGGTGGAAGTATGATCGAGTTCAACTTGTCGAAGTGTTGGCCAATCTGCGAATGCTGATATGATGGGAGAGTCCGCTTGATTATCAGGTGTACTATATGTGGGTGAAGGGAAGATAAGCGTGCGATAACGGTTGAGAGAATGAACATGCTGGTCTCGCGTGAAGGTGACAGACAAAACACCTGAACGCCAGAAAGTCGGTCGGCCATGGCTTAGCAGCCTGGCCACATCAATACGCCTTTGGTGTCCGAAACATCGGCAAATAAAGCAAATTGTGAGTCGACTTCTTGAAGGCCGCAGTGCATTACACGTGACTAATAGGGGTGGCTCGGGTTCAGGGGGTAGCCGCACGAGAAGTAATGGGGTATAAAAGTCCAGGACTTAGTAGCCTTTAGCGCTGCGACAAAACCCGCAACACTTACAGCCATTCAAAGGAAGAAATGGGCGGATCACGTACCAATCGGCCAATATCTAACTCACTCACAACCAAACAAACGAGGAAAGAGAATAGATTTCCAACTGTTCCGCTCTTCGTTAATTACTAAATGACTTTTCTGCACAGCCGAATTGAGGGTCCGGCCTATCGATGGCCATGCACACCGATGACCGAGTGGGAAGCCCGTGGGAGATGGAGCAATTGAGAGAGCGAGATGGTTTCTTTTCCGAGAAGGCGGCTGGTTGTTTTAGATAAATAAGTTGGGCTGACCCTGTCGCCACTGATACCGCAGGAGCATGGAGGCACCAACAAGAGGTCAGCGGCGTTGGAGGGGGCTGAGTGTTGGCACGGATAAACGCGCTTTCGAGTGTTCGGGAGGGATCACAAATGTCGCCGAGCGAGTACACCCCCAGCCATATCGAGGAAGATTTGTGAACAACGGTCACTAGACATGAAGCGATGCCGAGCATTAGATTTCACCTTAGCATATGTTCGGATTTCAGATCCATCCGCACTCGTGGAAAGAATCAATAACAATTCATTGAGCACCCTGACAAGGGTGCACGCGTGCGTCGAGGATGCATCGTGTCCGTGCGCACGACCATTTTACCATACAAGGGATGTGAGCCAAGTGAAAGTAGCGTGGAAGTGGAGAGAGCAATTTCGTTCCAGCAACAAGGTTGGCGGAGGGCCCGATAGCGGGACTACCGATGACCAATGTAGGCACGAAGCCCTGCTTGAGTCTGCACATGCACGTGCTGGGAAGGTCGAGTAGTCTTTTCAGGGCAAAGGGAACATCATCCCAATACATGCTGGGTTAGGGGCCGAAGGAAAAGTGGGGGGCTGCGCTCGACAGCACTTTATATAACCGACCGAGATATACGACTACGTGACTGCCCAGTTCCGCATTACACTACACGCGATCTGAAGACGAAGATCGAACGAGAGATTAGTCACCTGAGAACTTGCAAATAGCAGCATGGCATTGACACACTACAACGTGCTGTGAGAGCATCCATGGTGACTGTAAAATGAAAGGGCAACGGTACCAAAAGCAAGCCGGTTTATGGGAAAGGACCTCCTAGCACCATTGAAAAGGCGGGCTGACTGATACCGGCAAGTACCGACCCAGAGCTTGTGCGATGTGCCTGCCAGGCTCGTGCAAACGCTTTCACCAGTTCGCCTTGTTATGAAGTGTCTTGTGAACGACTTTCATCTGATCCGGCCATCTTGAAACGCCGTTGTGTGCTTAATGTGGGCAAATTCTCATAATTACATCCCATTTCGGCCACTTGTGAAGGAGTATTAAGCGTCAACCTCTTGAGTCGCATCCCACTAGACCTGTACACCTTTATCGGAGCATTCCCCCATGGCCCAGCCTGCATCAACAGCTGCTTATCGAACCAAGTCCACTACACACTCGGTGCCTGCTCTGTCATGTGTGGCCGGGGCCACTTTCGGAACTGTTAGCCTCATTCGCTCAACCGACATGTTATCGCAAATCGTTTTTGCTGCTATCACATCCCTCTCAATCCTCGGCTACATGTGAGGTTATTCAAATTCCTTTCCAAAGATTCCTCTTATATGTTGCAGTATCCTGCGACCTGGTGGTCCAGATCTCACTAAGGTACTGTTATAAAAATCAAGTTGCTGGAGAAGCTAAGCTTTGCTTTAGACTGCTCGCCAAAACCAGTACGATGCTAGTGTCCTGGCTCGCAGCAGCCAGAAGCTTTTGGTCGCGATGGCCACATCTTTAGCAGGGCCAGACCGCACGAAGTGGGAAGAAGTCATGGAGGACGTAGATGTCTGCACCGCGTGAGCAATATTTTTCGTCTAGCCTATTTCAAGGTTCTTATACTCTCCCAGCGAGTTCCCTGAGGATGTCAAACATGATATCCGTCAGGCGGGAAAGTGAGCAAAACGCTGCACCTACGATTATGGTATATGGTAGAGCGTGTCCTGATACTTTCCTGACAGAATCATGGCTGCCGCTAACTGGGTTGTAGAGAGATTTGAGAATCGCAGCGCTGTTGGAAGGTGGTATCATCAGGACAGCGATGCTAACCAGATCTATCAGGCCTCCAAGTGCTTACGAGAAATATCGGATGCATTGAAGGTGAATCACAACTTCGCTTGGGAAAGCCACTGTATAGGTCCCTAACTGTCTACCCTCGCTAGGTCACTGGCAATGTCAGCAGGCGAATCTTTGCTGCGAAGGCTAACGGTAATGCATTGAATAGGGCTGGGATGTCGTGAAGTTGGAGGCATTAGTTCGTTTGTTCCGTGTTATTTCTGCCGCTTGCATGACATGCACGGTATCTGGTATGTTCAAAATTGTGGAAATATTTTTGTATCCTCAGTAAGATGTACATAACCCACTTGCGTATTCGTTTCGCGTTTGCACCATGGGGATTCCTATCCACCATCATGCTAAGCATTTCAATGGTGAACCCCCCATTTTTCAGAGATGAAGCCAATGGGAACGGGTCAGATGGAGTAAATATGTGTTCTCGGCTACCGCGGCATTGACTTTCTGCTTTCTTCAAGTTAAGCCGTGTGTGATTTTCGGTATGACCCAGTGTTTCACTATATGCGTGTTAGTATTACAATTTCAAGCTACGGAATCAGCAGCTGAGAGAGGGAGAGAGGTGGAAGAGTCGGTTTCATTCCAGGCGGGCATCCCACAACCTCAAGGCAAGGAAGATCGGATAGTTACGGCTAGAGTGCATGGCCAGCACACATGTCTGGCGCCGCGCTTGCAGCTGCGTGCTTCGCAAAGGTGACCATAACTGTTAGAGGAAGGACTTGCATACCCTTCGTCGTTCATCGTGCGTCACGACAGATAAGGAAAACCCAGCGTCTTGGGACCCAACCAAGAGACAAAATGTGCAGAAACAGCCGCATTCTACCAGTGGTACAGTATCAACGAGCAGCGGTCGTCCACATTCACTGCGCATGACGTGCCAGTATGCGACACGTCTTTCAATAGGCAAAATTTTTCAGTCCTCATACCCTCGATGCGAGCTTACGACTGTAGTAGCAACTGCGTCACTGCAAGATGTGGGTTGTCATTTAGGTGGACAAGTAGCTGCCGAGCTCTGTCCGATTGAGCTAAGGCGGACTTGATCCCCACCATGAAGTCCAAGTAGCGCGCAGGAAGAAATTGTGGCCGGATTGAGGATGGAAGATAACGAGGGGCCTAATTATGTTGGACGAAACATTCACTTTGAGCCGGCTCGTGACCCAAGCGAAGCAGAATAAAACACGCTGGACAAGTTGAACTCTGCGCAGGAATAGAAAACTATCCTGTGTTAGTTCACAGGCGGAAGAAGCGACCTCCCAGACATGGTCGTGTGTGGAAGTGATATAATGTTGACCGAATCCCGGATCGAGACAGCCAGCGCTAGCTCTTGCTGATCTGTTGGCGGGAATGGTCCGAACCGTTCAAAGCTGCAGATATGATGTGATATAGATTTGGGCATAGGAGAAGACAAGAGTATTCGGTCTTCAGGAACTCAGAAAGCACAGGACAGATGTCGAGCTGTGCAGGCTAGCGTACGCTGCAGCGTAACGTTGCAGGCACAGCAAGGGATACCAGGTTGGCCCTTGCCCTGATAGGTAGGACCGCAGTGACAAGAATTGTCATATTCTGGAATCGTAATTCGGGCGAGTGCTTGCCAGACTATGTGTGCGACTTTTGGTCCAAAGATGGCAATGTCAACACGAGCGCATGATCAAGTTATACGGCGTACCAGTCCATCTGGGAGATGGCATGAAGATAAGATTAGCACGCAAGATCACGGAGCGCTTACGGCAGTTCTCGCCTCTGGAGTTCGGTCAAGGGATGGGCATCGTGATTAACTAAAGGCCTCTCCAACTATATATACCTAGACTGTACGCCACGGACGTCTACGTTGGCGGTAACCTTCCAATGTTAGTCAGGTGGTTTCAGAGTAGGTCCGGTCAAGTACTAAGCTTGGTAGATGTGGCATCGGCGCCTGTCGTCAATGGGGTGGTGGGGCCAAATGTATGCCTGGACATGAGAGGAACCAGGCCCCAGACTCCACGGAACGAAAATAGGCTGGGTCCACCCGACCGCGGGGCAGGTGGGTAGATCAGCAGCAAGCAGAACATTCAAGATAGCGGGAGGGTCGGAATGAGAGAGATTAGTTGAATATAGATCGCAAACAGGAGTGTACGGGATGGATTAACTGCGCGATAATGATACACTTGATGCGCGGATACGATTACGTACAGGGTCTGTGGTATGTGGCGCAAATGAGCGGTGCGGTTGCTCGACAATGCAGGGTGGATGGAATATCGATGACGGTTCCTTAACGATGGTCCGTCGTGTATCGCGAATAATTCCTTAACCTTCTGTTGTAACGCGTGAGCCTCCGGCCTATACATTGGCCTAGCCATGACAGTATTTATAGCGTTGAACTTCGGCCATCGTATGCAATAGATGTCTCGGAAAGAGGTGTCGGTGTTATTAGGTGTGTACAATAAACTGGGCATTTTGCTGGACAGAAATCACGATGGTGATAGGCAAGTCTTGTGAGGAAATCAATCCCTTCTGCAGCAGCCCCCGCTGAGTGACCTGTCTCATGAGGAATGTACCTTCTTGCGAAGGCATGTAAAACAGGGTAACAGTGATGTGATCAACCGAATGCTAAGAGAACTCCCTGATATAACGAACATGGACGTGTATCGCCTGGAATGGTTCGAGTCCAAGTGCATTGGGAGTTGGGAGGGAAAACATTGGCAGGGCCGACGTATCAATGCGTCTTCGAAAGAAGAAACACACTGAATGCACAGCCTTCTGCCTAACTGCCAGGTTAGAATACTCAAACACACCCGCAACCGTCAACGAGTTCCAGATTTAATTACATACATCCATACTATGAGTGAGCTCAGTACAAGGACATGGATGAAATCTTAGCTGACATTCCTTATCCAAGTTGAATGCAAGTTAAATACCCTCTCTACTCATATATCACCAAGAACTGAACGCCATCTCAAGCACACCCGCCCCCAAAGTCTGCGCCTCGAATTGAACCCCCTTCATCATTGCCTTATATTCTAGTTCCAATAAGCGTTTTGTGTCTATGTGTTTTGTTCCTTCTGTATCGACATTCAAGTCAACTGAAGCGGGTTGTGCAGTATAGGTCAGTTGCTGGTTCCCAGCGCTTAATCCACCAACTGATGTGCATACTCACCAGGCTCAAGGGTTTTATGAAGCCTCGGGGTGCTATCCGTCTGGAAGAGGATGAAGAAACAGCCCCATGAGTCCAGGCATTCTACTGGTTGAAGTAACTGTATGGCGACGCCTCCATAATGTTAAACATGTGGTATTATCTCGTACAATTCGGAATTATATGTCGTTAGAGAGGATACAGCGTTCAAGGTCTAGATCATCGGGGTGATGTGGGATTGGAGCCTCTTGTAATCCCATTGTGTTGCCCTCTGAGATGGTCAAAGAAATTATTCATGCTCCAGTGAAATCTCTAGCAGCTCTTCTTGCCAAGTCATCTACGCTCCCCCCGTCGTCATCCTCCGACTCGTCGTGGGCAGCCCCGCCTTCGGGCGAAAGCCCCATCGCTGCGCGGCGACCCGCTTTCCGAGCGTTGAAACTCCTGCTAGCTACGCTGTTTGAAAACAAAGGCAGCAAGTAGCGTTCGTCGAGCGTAGTAAAGGACCACTCCCCTGCGGCGGGTGTGCGAGAACCGCTGCTGCCCTCTTGGGCTACATAGTGATGAGCACTTGACTGGGCGGCGGCACTGGAGAGCGGCAGTACTTCGCCACCATCCGAGTATGATTCTTCATCAGATCCTGCAGAGAACATGTTACTTGGTGATCGAACTGGAGTTCGGCGTCCCCGAAATTCACCGTCACCTGGACTCCCAGTCCCCCGGTCCCAACTTGGTGGCGGCACGGATAAGAAACAGTTCTTGAGTAGTCAGACAGACATTGCTTACCCATACACCTCCGCACGTCCAGTCCATGGAGATGGGCGGTGGTCGTGCTGTGTATCAAGCCATCCCCCACGACGTCTTGCGCCGAAAAGAGGCGGACCCTCCTCTTCACTACTTGATCCTTCTTCCTCAACACCTGTCCTGATTCCCAGAACTTCCAGCATTCTTGAAGTAGTTCCACCGAACATGATCACCGTGAGCACGACAACGACAAGGACGGTGGTCCTTAGCGCTGCCGCATTATCGCCTTGGAATCCATTTGAAAGTGCGACTCCAACGGCACCACGTAGGCCGGCCCAGAATAACATCATTTGGTATGAATGCGGCAATTCTTCGTGACGCTGACCACGGGCGCGCTGGATGAAATTGATAACAGTGGAGAGTGGGAACACTGCTAGATATCTGGTGGCAATTACAGCAATCTAGCACACAGTTTGAGGACGTAACGGCGAGGCCTGAAAATAATTTCGCACCGTAGTTACTAGGATGAGCAAGGGTCTGAAGACCTGCACATCTTGTGTGAAGAGATTGAGACCAAGATAAATGAATATGAAGTTTTCTGACAGCTGAGCTAATACCGAGAACATGTATTTGGTCGTTCTCTGCGTCTTCCGGGACATGGTGTGATAGGCGTAATGCTTGAGAGTAATACCACAGAACAGGAGCGACACAATTCCTGTGATTTGAGCATTCAGCAAGCAACATACCCAAGGAGAGGGGTGCGCACCACTCATCTTGATGCCGTTGCTGAAAAAATAGCTGGTGTAAGCTACCAAAGCAACAAGGCAGGACTCGATACCAGGGAAATGGGAAAGACTCGAATGCTTGAGGGCAAGGGAACAGCCCAGGCCGAACATCACGCCCAGAGCCATGGAAATAGAGAATGAAAGCAAGAAGATCCCAGTTCCATGGATGAGAGAAGATGGGTAGAATTCCGAGCCATGGAATCCCGACAGTGTTTCGTACATGACAATACTAACGGCGTCATTAAGGATGCTCTCCCCAAAAATAACCGCGTAGAGATTAGGGTCAACCTTGTACTGGGTGAAGATTGCCAAAATGGTGACAGGGTCAGTGGCAGAAAGGGTGGACCCAAGAATAAGGCATTCCAGGAGCGTTAGTTTTGGTGCGAGGGCAGCAGGTGCCACAACAGTGAATAAATTGACAATTACCCTACAAGAATTAAACCGTTGGACCCATTAAACTCCATAGACAACTTACCCAATGCCTATTGCAGAGAGGAATGTTCCAATGAAAGCAAATGTCAGGATAGAGCCGAAGTTGCGAAAGAAATGATCCTACAAAGGTTAGTTCCAGAGGCAGCAGCGGGAGTCCTTAATCCCTTTGACGTGCCTGTTTAAGTTCATATCCAGAGTTGAGAATAATAGGAGGGAGAAGTAAATTAAAGAAAAGAGTATGTTTGAATTTCTGAAGCAAGGGATGATTATTCCCAGAGTCGCGGTTACTGGTAGTAGAGATACGTGCCAGCATGTCACGGATGAGATGTCCTGGAGAGGCCCAGACAACCATTCCAACGAACATTCCTGCAAATATTGATAGGACCGTCTCATGTACGGCTCGTATCCGTTTGATTTGAACGTAATATGATGTCCATAATGAAAGGATGAGAAGAACGCATAGTATGGCGAGTGCCCATGACCTAACAACATCAACTTATTAACGATCTCAATTTCATACAGCAGCATCCATACGAGTATAGCTCCTCAGTTTCCGGTGTAGGTTCGTCGCTGATGGGATCCTCGAACGCATTAATCGTCATTCTTCAGGCGAGGTTTTGGAGGGAGGAGGTATTCGGTGTTTGCCGATTTTGGCAAATCGACTCATCCAAGCAAATTAAAACGGAGGGTTCTATGTATTCCGTGTTAGTTCATTCCTGTGTATGTTTGTTACAATCTTGGCAAGCTGGCCATGCCTGGAAGTGGCATGAATGACTACATTACTGAAGTCTAACATCGAGATCACGCCCGCACTGCAATGCGCAACACCAGGGCACTGTTACGTTGCGCATGAGCCTGGCATGTTTACGTCGTGATAACGTACATTATGTATTAGCGGGAAGGGACGGCAGCCATTCCGGAGAGTCATTAATCCAACTGCTCACGTGGTATCACGACAGTTCCTCCGCCAGGCCACCGTAGCTTGTTTCATGATAAGCGCAACTACTGCTAGCGGAGTGAGTGTTTTGGGCTCTGGACTGATCAGAGAGATTTACGGACATCAGACTGAGAAACAAAATTAGCTCAGAAGTGCCGGTCACGTGGAAATCCCCCCACTTTAAAGTCAGTTGGGAGTTATTCCACTCTTCCTAAGGGCGTCTGAGATTGTGCGAATTATATTCGACTCTGTCATTCTATCCTTTTGGTACTCGTGCTGTTTCTTAAAGTGCAATGAATGGTCAAGCAAACGGGAATGAGAAGGCGCCTGCCGTTCAGGTCTCAAACCTCGCGCGAGACCAGAGCGGCGCGTACGTTCCTTCCAGGGCGCTCGAGCTCATTCCCGAAATTGTCCCTATACTTCACACTTTCCTATCCGGAGATATGAAAGAGGCCGATGAGCAACTCAAGAATGGAGATCCCAGAGGCGAGACGCTGTACTATTCTCTCGGTAGGACATTCATCCCCCGTCATGAAAATGGAGTGAATTGTGAATAACTGAAAAATTCGAGGTCGATGTGTTATCGAATCCCTCAAGGCGTTCATGTCCTTTGAACACGCTGTATGTCCCCCCCATATCAACTCGCTTGCGATCACTTGCCTGACTATGAGCAGGACCTCCGTGACGCTATAGAGATCAGCAAACATTGCGGGGCCGTGTCCCAAGCCCACCGTCGTCATGTTACCTCCATGGCGTCGCGCATATCTGGCTTTATTAGTCGCTCAACTAGTGGTACAGCTTGGATCAAAGGCATGAATGACGTGGAGCGTCATGCTGAGCTATGTTACCAGGAGCACCTCCTTATAAAGGCTGTCCTGGGTATTTTGTACTCCGGAGACTGGTTCCAATTCATTAAGGAGGCGTTACATCTTCGTTCAGCGAATATCGCATATCGAACCATGAACGAGTTTCTGCGTGAAGCTGATGTCGCAGCGGATGGGTATGACAACCTCATTGATCAGCATTTCCGTTCTGGCGTTATGTTTGGGGTGGCGATGAATTCGCTCATTCTGTCGCTTCTTCCTCACCGGGTGCTTGCGGTACGTGTCTTGTTTGGTTTCTCATCATTGCAAGCTCACCTCTAGGATACAGCTCGCCCAGCTGTTCGGCTATGAGGGCAATCGAACTGAATCTCTGAAGTTGTTGTATGCGATTGGGGGCTGGACTAAGGATAGCGATGAACCTATGGTTGGGAACAGGAGGAGGGTGTGAGAAGACCTATGGCAGACATTTCACTCCTTATCTTTCACCTTGTTCTGAGTAATTACACTTATAAAGGCGTTGATTTATCCATGGTTCGTCCTTTATTACTCATCAGCTTAGGGGTTGGACCTGAGAACAGCACAGGCCCGAAAAATCCTGGACTGGAACATGCGGCGTTACCCCGAGGTGAGAAAGACTTTGTCTCTCAGATGAGATTGCTGAGCTTTCAGTGGACAGGGGGTCTTCTGTCTAGTATGCTCTGACACTCTATGTCGCACCTGTCGTTGACTAAGTCACCCAGTTCGCTAAAGGCCGGATATTGGTTTGTCAAAGTCGGCCGGATGTAAGTATTCTAGTTGACCGCCCCTTCACCCATTCTCATGTTTGGGGATACATTTCTCAGCTGGCCGTAGGTTACTATGAAAGGATGATGGAGAATTGCCAGATAGAATTCCGTAGCTTGAGAAACATTTCATTATGGGAATTAGTGAGTAGTCCTAGAATCTTGGCATCTTTGAGGTTCATATCCTACCGAGAAAGAGTCTGTGCAGTCTATCCCTGTACGACATGGATATGGGGGTAACAAAGTGGAAAAAGCTTCAAGCCGACGCTAATTGGAGCAAGTGCGCGTACACTTATGGTGTGTCTCGTCCTCTTGTGGTATTGGAGTCACTCGATTATACTGTATCTTGATCCTCAGCGTATGCGGTGTGTTTATACGAGCGTGGGCATGATGAGGATTTGAGGGAAGCGGAAAAGCTCATGTCCCGAATCCAAGGATTGATGCAACGCATCGCAAGCAAAACCATCCCCTTAGAGGCATGTGGAATCGCAAGCTAATATTGTGCCGCAAGTCATTCTGATGTCATGTGAACTCCATCCTAGAAATACGCCGCGCGAAAAGCGGCGAAATTCGCCACCCAAGGGAACCGTCTTATGCTCCCGGCTTTGGAACTCGGCTACCACTTCCTGTGTATAACCCGAGCGCCTCGTGGAGTTCTTGTGCGTAAGATGCTCCCCGCCATTGAAGCCGCACGTACGAAGGTTCTCGAGCATATCGACTCGCTCACAACGTACTATGACGGGAGGTACTACTGGGATGACTATTGCTTGGTTCACTTCCTCCATGCTGTGTGCCTCCGATACATCGCCCATGCGGTGGGTTCATGCGAGAGGATGGCGCTTCAACCTCGGTGTATTGATTACGTGTGCACTAGGATCCTGACGCTATGAAGGATTCGGATCTGGCCGATCCCCTGCCTGAGAACGCCGAGAAAAGGGCCTTCGACTCGTTCCAAAAGGTTATTGAAAATGGCGCTGGAATTGAGATAGATCACTGGATTGTCTACTATGCTCGTTAGTCGTTCACACTTGCGTTGTGAACTGCAACTTAATAAGGTCCACAAACAGATTACGAACTTGGACGGCTCTACGCTTGCATTGGCGATATTAAAGAGGCGCAGAAACATCTCGAAATGATTCATTCAGGTGGGAGTTTGTCCAGCCAAGCCCTTTTGACAAAACCGATGTTTACAGCGATCCTTCACAGGGAATGTGGTTGTTCATAAACCTGAAAAAGGCAAATACAGTTTGGAGGTGAGTCCTGTTCTTTACACTCGCAGTATCGATCTTTAACTAGTTTCGTCAAACCCAGAGCACCCTGATCATGCGCACACATGCTGCTATGGAGTCATTAGTAGATGGTCAACCATTATAGCGAGCTAATTCTGCTGTCGCCGATCGCGGCGAATTGTGACGTTTCATCTTGGATCTTGACTTTAATTCACGCTTATCTAGCGATTGGACTGCATATTTATTCTTGCGCTAGACGTTTTTGCATTCCCACCGAGATTCATAGATTTGCAGGTGTTGTGTGCGACTTGGTTGCCTTTGCTATTTAATTGCATCGTTGACTTCCAAATTTCGAAACGCTAGTGTAATCTATCGGGGAAACACTAGGCTTGACCAGTAGGTAGGTAATTGTTCGGAACGGCCACAGCGCAGCTAGCAGGACAAGTACGTACTAAGCAGTTGTGACTGCGGCTTTCAATGAGCTGCCGCTTATGATGAACAAAAACGTGGTTTGTGGACGCGATGGAGCCGGTCAGGCACCCGTCCAACTTTGGTTGTTACAATAGACATTATCCGGGGATTGGATCCTATTCATGTGGTCGGCCACGGCCTTGAACAGAGTTGGTAGTTTTGTGATTTTGATCGCTGGTGTTACATAAACTAACCACATACATATAACCTCAAGAAGCTTCCTTTTTGCAAACAATAAAGTCTGATCAGCCAAATTGTGATGGGGGTGACAATACCATGCATGGTCCAGGTACAAGACCACCGCACGCGGCAGAACAAATAGTTTTACGATATTTTGGCAGAGCACAACATGCAGGAGCAAAAGACATGGAAAGTAGGGAAAGAACTGTAAGGGTACAACTTGCTTGCGGTAATTGCAGTGTAACAAGTGAAAATTGTATTGGAAAAACCAAAAAAAAACTCGAGGTCCGAAACAAAGAGCCTAGACCCAAGACTGAAGAAATAAACGAGAGCAGAGATAGGGGAGTCGAAGGTATGAAAAATCGACAGGAGGTCGACGTTATTACGAACTGTGCTTGATAGTTGTGCTAAGGGAGGAGAATGCATGAGGCAGCAGGAGAAATGAATTTGAAACAAACAATACTAAGTGAGATGAGTTGGGGATGGGGAGAAAGCATTACTTGAACGTTCGAGAGCATGGCGAATGGATAATCGGATCATAGGGTGACACGGAAAGAGCCAACGGCCTTCTGATCGGCTGCCGAGCGAGTCTGAGCCGAAGGGCTGACATTGCCGGGGAACACATCAGAAGTTGGAGTAGGATACGGACGCTGATCCCTAATGAGCGTACCAGCATCGGATCGGCCGGCCCCAAACGGGAAGTAATCTTGTGTTTCACGACTGATGTGGGGCGAAGTTCCCGGGGAGCTCATAGGGGGCGAAACCATGAAACTCGGAGAGGGAAGAGTGCCGCCTCCGAGAGCCACTGGTGATGGGAGACTGAGGCTCATCATAGGTTGTTGAGGACGTGGGCGTTGTTCGATCGGAGAAGAGACAGAGAATTATTCGGACGTGAGTGGTGGGCGGGAGGAGAGGATGAGGAAGGCAAATAAGGATGGTGTGGAATATGATATGGATGATACGAAGCGCCATGCATATAGTCGTCGTCCACTTCATCACCGTCCTGAGATCGATCATCGTGAAACATCATCATGGGGTCGTTGGAAGCAGCCTCGGCACGGGCCTTGGCCGAATTGGGTGCCTTGCGCAAGAGACCTTTGCCGGTCTCATACATATTATGAGGAACATGAATCTGGCGCAACAGTGGATCGTCTTGCACGGATGGCAAGGAAGAGAATGTACTGGCAGAGAAATAAGCCTAAAAGGGTCCGTGAGAACCATTGGCAGAGGAAGGGGTTGAAGGAGACGATGAAACTTACTGTCATATGCCATTTTTTGCGGTACGGGTTTCCGTTAGGGTCAGTAGACAAGGTTACCCATGCGGAATAAGTCTGTTTGGTGAGGCCCTGAGGCGATGTGGCATAAGCGTGGGGGTTGTCATACTCGTCTTGGCTGTGCGGTGCGGAGAAGGGTGAGCTGTAAGGGTGGTGCAAGGATTTAGTATGAACCTACCCTTTCATTCCTCTTGACAGTTTTTCCTCGTAAAACAGAAACGGCTCACGCATTCTTGATGCTGACCTATGTTGAGGTTTAGCGGGCGTGGAATCGAGTTGGTGGCAGGGGGGGATCTACCATTTGCGACCATCGGTCCATCGTTCCAAGCCACCTTTGTGGGAAGCTTCCTCCCAGACGAAAACATCGCCAGACTGGAGTTGGGCGCGTTCGGTCCCAGTGAGACGACGGCGGATCATAGGGAGGTGTCCGAGTCTCACGGCTTCAAACAACACATGAGCGTCTAAAAGCTGAGTCAAAAAGGTGTTATGGACGTGTATGAGGGGGATTGATTGTACCATGTGCGCTCTTGATGTCTATTAGAATGGAATGAGACAAAAGTTGTAAAGGAGAAGATTTGAAGATGAGGACGTACGAAGGCTAGGATGAGTGACATGCCGGGGGATTTGATGAGGGTGATAGTTCATTGCTGAGGAAGAAGTGGTGGTTGTGACCGGGGGAAGAGAGAGTGTTTTGGAGTGAGGGAGATAAGCTTACAGATGAGAGTTGGTTGTTCATTGATTTTTATAGAGAGCGTTTATAGCCGCGCGATGGTGTCCAGGAACGCGAACAACACAACTCAGGCACTGTAATACAATAAGAGTTAATACTATTTATTACAAAAATCGTAAATTTTACAACATCAATCAATTGAATCCAATCTCATCTCTTGAAATACTTCTCTTCAAAAACTTGCGATTCTCCATTTTGGGACTCAAGCCACGCAGTCGAGTTAGCTCTCCTGTGCTGCTATCCAACTCCCATAATGGGAACGTTTACCTATTTGACTTTGCGTCCCTCAGGGGCACTCGTCGTTTTGGAGGAGAGGCACCAACTCGTGCAAGCACAGGTTAGCAAATCAAATTCGGCTCATTACTACTCCATGCACGTCGGCGACACACATCTCCGGGGGCCTGTTTCACACTCTTCGAACCGTAAATATTAACGTTGTCCAAGACGCTCAACAGTAAGTAAACTTGTTTTCGAGAGTCGCGTGAACGGGTTCTATCGATTCGTGGTTGGAGCTACGATGCACATCCTGATATCTCCAGGATCATATCGGGTTTTCGAGTTTCCTAAGCACAATTACGTCGGTTCCGTCCGCTGATCAATCTGAGAAAAAGTATCGCTCACCTAAATGGACAACTGGGCTCAGCCACCGCCACGCGCGCGAGGACTTGATCGGGTCCCATCGCAACGATGCTTTGTCCTTGGGTAAGCCTTCCCCCTGGACCCATTCAAATCACTCAGCCACAAGGCACTGGCCTGACCAAAACGCCGTGGACCTTTTTCAATCCTGCCCTGATTCATCAGCTAAGCGGGCTCACAACTGGGAGAACAATCTTCAGCGCTATGCAGTGTTTTTGTCAAGGGCTATGACACGACGAGGACACACGTTGCAAAGTCATCGCCCCAGCCACTGACAACACTAGTGAGCGATGCCGTGTCGACTAACGGATGTGTTGGGTGTAAGATAATTCATGATCACCTCACCCTGGCGTCGCCGCTCCGAAATCATCCTTGAGCTTAAGGTACGGGGATTGAGTATGCGGGGGTTCACCGCGTGACATTGGAAAATTTCAAGTGGCTTTCAAGCGCATTATTTCAAGCGCATTATGTAAACGCGAGGTGCCAATTTCAAGCGCTTGAAATTGAGATCCAATCTGGACCCGCACTTCGGGGAAATTAGGGCGCAATGGTGCACGTGAAGGTAAATTGCGGGAGACGGACGAAAGGAATCATCCATCCGACCTACACATTCAGCATAAAGAGGTGCAGAGACAAGTGGAGAATTCCACTAGCGCTGCAAAAACTGGCCACGACACCTATTAGACTGACCTGTGTCACAAGCGAAATGCCATTTCGTAGGGATTAGGGTAGTTAGCATTTACATATACAAAGGGCTCGCTTAAAACGTTGCGCGTGATGAGAGGACGGAACACACCATTTTGTATGGTGGCAGGGCGTCATTGGCAGTACATGATAGTGGTCTTGCTTGTTAGGCAGCCTATATGACTTCCTAATATACCAATTTAGATGAAAACGTGTAGCACAAGAACGCTCCTTGATCAGCTGCCTGACGCCTTGTTGCCGCGCATTACCACGCTATTGCGTCAAGGAACTTGTCCTGCTCTCTCCATTTCAGGGCAGTTAACCCAAACAAGAGCCGAGTGTCTAGCCAGCTTCCCTGATCAGGTTGCAGACTAGCCTGCGACTGGCTAGCTAGGGGCGGAAGTGACTGGCCAGCTTTTCTCTCCAACACTGTATTTATCACCTGCCAAACTTGGTTGGCCTCACATGCGTGGGGAATAGAGTATGGGGTCTCTCCTTTCATTTCCCATGGTTCCTTGTTCTGTTTATTTGTCCAACGATGATGACCTCTAATTGCTACAGCGCGCGGAGTTGGCCGAATTTATACAGCACTCTTGGTGATGCATTTGCATCATTTCGCGAACGACGCGCTTACTAGTGGGCAGGACTCCAGCCTCTGTGACTTCGTAATATGAGATAGATGACGCGCCTGCATGGAAGACTTGTGACTCCGGATCAATCGCTTTGTAGTCCTTCCGTGGACCCCAATGCTGGTGGGGATGCTGGTTTTTATGCAGCGTGGAGCCCCTCGTGGCCACGATTACAGCTGGATACTAACAGCAACATTACAGAAGAAAGCAGCAAACTCACGTCTGGACTATCACTGGGGGTTGGGCTGAGGGGTTATTTCGTATCTCGTGAGTGTGTCTTTGCTCCTCACATTTCGTATTCTATCCGTACATTCTATCAATTAATCCCCTTTTGTCATGGGTACCTAAGAAGCTGCCATAGTAGCTCGGGAGCCTGCCAGGCTAGTCAGATTGATCACGGCTATTTCGGTCGAAGTGTTCCTCGATTTAGGCCGGTGGTTGCATGCATTCAGTCAGTTCCATGTTTTGGGCAGTATTGATCATTTTCCATCTCGAGGCTAAGGGGGAGCATTGACTGGCAGCGCGGCCATAACAATTCCGTCTGGGATGGAATGCGAATGAGAACACGGCTCTTCTGTCCTCGAAGCCCTCGCGTTGGATTTCCCATCCGTATCGAAATGGCCGCAGTACTATCGCTGTTGAATTTTGGTATACGGCGAACTTATACCGCAGGGCTATTCGGGCTTCTCTATCAATTCGTGCCTTGGCAGGAATTTATGTAACTCTTGAGTACGTGCATCTCGTTGGCTCTTCTCGATCTTAGTGGGCTAGGCATTATCGTCTGACTCCAGTGTACCCATCCATATCGAACCCCCGGTGGCTCAATGTGCCACCCTATCGTACATGTATACACACTGAAGTCCCAACTTCGTTTCGCATCAACAATACCAAATAGCAATGCTCCTGTAGTTTCAAACGCGCTCTAGAATCCAACAGGTTTGTGCATTGAGTAGCCGGGGCTTGCTTCTCCGGAGTGACGCTAGAGTGAGCAGCCCCTTACCACTAATCGGCAGTGTCGTTCTCCGGGTGTGATCAACACTGATTGGTATTGGTTGACAACTAGTGCGTGAATTGGTCCCTAAAACTTAGTGAGCCATGCGTGTATTTACATATTCGTTCCATACGTTGTAGGTCTTTTCTGACAGGTTGACAGTGGCGGACATTTGTTTGCTGGCTTCGTATATGTAGTGAGTTAGACCTTGGTACTGCTCAGCCGACGAAATCCTGACATCGGGAACAACGTTCAGGAAGTATTGGCCACCTTCGTAGGGACTGGTGAATGCTCATTGTTTGCTCATTTATATAACATAACCAACCGTTCGAGGCCTTTTGATTGTACGGATGTAAATCTACGAAAGACTCAATGGTCCGTTCCCAAGTCATTGTTACTGATGTGTTGATGGTCAGCGCAGGACCAGGCTGAGGAACAAGTAGCATGAATAGCACGCGTTTTACTTATCAGGTCGCCAGGATTGACTGCTAGGGAAGTTCGTGGGGCACCTGGACTAGAGGACCTTATTCCGTAAAATGTTGAAGTGATTTTATGTAAGGAGGCGGTTCGGGCGGATGCGGTGTTTTACAGAGTCTCCCAGCTGAGAATTTCATGTTGTGCCTCCGTTCTATAGCGCAAAAATGTCACCTACTACTCGTGACCCAATCAATATAAAATGGTATCAAGGGTGCCCCCACCCTACCTACCTTCTTAGATAGCAATCAACCGTCTGAGTGCATGCACTGGTGCACTGGTGCACGAAGGAAAATATGATTCGGAAAATAAGATTTCGGAGGGGCCCGAAGGGCCCCAGAAGCTCTGGGGTGCCCGTGACTGAGTTTTCAATTACAATACATTTTCACCAGCACTTCGGCGCGGTTCTATTGCCGGCATCGTCTTCCGATGCGTTGTCATTGCCGTCACCATCGTCAACATCGTCGAAGTCAATCTTCACCAGTTTTGCCCATTGTTTCTTCGTTCCTTTTTCTGCTTATGTCTTTACAGCATTATTGTCTCCTCTGCTCACGCCATGTATCAATCTCAATACTATTCATTATTTTTGTCATCGTCATCGTTGTTGTTGTTCATTTAAGTTGCAATTATTACATCGATTCCAAATCCATACTCTCTAATGCATTCACAATCCTCCCAAGGAGATGATGGTAATCCTGGTCATCATCGTCATCGTCATCGTCATCGACATCGACATCGACATCTTCAATCTCTTCGTCCCAGTCCTGCACCACCATCCCTTGAAAATCCTCTATTACAGGGCCCTGACTGCTACTAGGGGCATCACCTTGCAGTTCAGCGATAGGATCGGACACCGTCTGAGTTGTGGAGGAATTATTGTTCGCTGTAACTATTTAGTTATGCTGAGAAATGCGGGGAATGGTGAAGAGGACACTTGACGTACATTCAGAGGTTGACACATTAGCCTGGTTCATATCCTCTATGGGACCTGGACTTCCCACTCTGCGAATCGCTGGAAGAGGTGTGCTGACACCACCCTGCTTCTCCAGAAGCTTCAGTTTTCTACGCAATTGTCTATTTGCGTTGAGTCGGCACTCAGCCATGAGTGAAATGTATTTGGCGAGCTCGGGGTGGGTGTGCTGAGTGGTCTCAATGACTTGACGCAGGTGAGCTTCCTCCTCGATCACCGAAGCCCATATCCGATGAGCTTCAATCCCAACAATCTTGACCTCCTCACGAGCGTGTTGAAGTTTGTACCATGCACGTGTAGCATCACGAAAATGACGCTGAAACCATCGCTTGTCCCGGATGTCCTCACGGCCACGTAACAGGATGATATCGGAGAGGAAGTGGAGGTCCGTAACGTCCTGCCACGTAAGTGATGGTTTGGGGGATTCAACGAGGCTGCCAAGGTGTTATATTTCTGGAGTGTTGATTGCAGTGATTTCCCCCGCTTGGCGACCAATGTGGAAATATGCTGTCGAGTTTTATAGTCTATGGGCATGAATAGTGGTATTAATGGAATTAATGCCGAGTGATATAAATCTCACCTGTTTTTGGCAAGCCAATCTTCTCAAGCTCAAGCTGACGTGAAATAGCTCGCTGCTCAAGCTCATCAAGAATGTGATGATAGTCTCGCTGTTGACGCAGAACTATCGCTTCGAGACGCTGGGGGGAATCGGACGTCCAAGGGAGGATGAACAATGATCGGGCCTCTATTGCCATTACCGCTGAACGAGCGGTTTCAAGGGTATCGATTGCTTGTGCTACATGCTGCCCAAATTGCGCTGATAACGCTGCTGGCATTCCAATTTGCAACGTCCAGTAACGCGTGGTTGCTCTAGTAGAATAATTGAGCTCAGCAGTGAATACAGATCAATGCTTACATACTCAGCGTGTTCCAGATGCTCAATAGCTTCCAAATATTCAATCTTGACTTTCTCATCGGTGGGCTCCAATTGAAGTGAGGAGATATAGTCTCGTTCTTCAGATAGCCACTGTGGGCAGTCGTGATCTGCATCAAAGTCTGGGAACAACACTTGTGTCTGGTCAAGAACCGTCGTGCCATCGCTAATAATCTTCGTAGCAGATTTGAAGTTGTTCAAGAGGAAATCACCTATCAAAGTTAGGTTAGGCATTTAGGGTGATATACACACATAACAGAGATGCACCTAATTTTTCATATTTAATTTCGTCCCATTTGGAGAAGTGGATATGTATGCGCTGGTGACGGTGGTATGGGGAAGCATGTCGTATGATTGGGGCAAGGGCATTACTCTCTGAATATACTCGTTCATTCCCTTCACCATCTTCTATGCCTGCCCCATTCTGTAAGGTAATAAGGAAGTCTAGCTGGCATGACCTGTCATGAGCAGCACCATGAAAGGAACCGGTACAACACCTGAAATTGGCATCTCTAGCCAAGGCCCCAATGGACGACTTCGACAAGGTCGCAGAGAATGTACACGCAATGTCATAGGCGAATAATATATTCTTACCGAATGTGCGTATAAGCTTCTCAGCGGAAGCCAAGGGATACTTTGCCCTATATGACAACATTAGTTATACCGAAAACATTTTAAGCTTTTGCTCACAGCTCTCCACTTTGCACCATGTCAAGGAGAAATTGCATGATCCCATGCCTACAAACAACCGAAAAAATACCTGTTTCGTCCATAACCTGCAAAGCTCCGGACTTTGACTTTGATGGCATTGGTCGGGCATTCCTCCAGGCTAGGCAGGCCTCCGATATGGGTGGGTCCTCTGTCGTCTGTGGAATAGGGGCCACCCGTGATTGTAGAATACAACGGCTGTACTAAAAGCACTTACCTGGCTTGAAGCACTTGGTTGTGAACGCTTTCGAGCACTGGCAAACTGATCAACATCTCCCCGAGAGATGTAATAGTCGCTGAAAAAGATACGAGAATCCCCCTCAAAGTGGTGACGAAGTCGCGAAAGGGAGGTGTTCCCATCGCCAGTCACGATAAACTGGATTGGGAGCTCTGGCTCATCCTCGACCTGGAACCCAACATCACCATGAGATTTGTGACAGCTTACCTATGATCGCGCTCACTTTATGATGGCATGCTGGGCAAGAGGTCTTGAGGCGGTGGTCTGGCGTGTCATGTCCCAGTTTCTGCTGTACCATAGCACGTAGTCGAGATAGGATGCAGTAATAAACATCAAACGCGAGTGAAATTTGAGTTCTCAAGTGGGGTTGGAACACGGTCTAGTGTTTTGTGGTAACAAGAAACTGTCAAGAACAACGAGATGGGCCTACCCTGTGCATGTCAGCAAGCAGTCGGGAGTAGTTTTGGATACTGAAGTTTGGTGCTGCCCGAAAAAGCGAGTGAAGCAGTTCAAGTGTCCGTAGAGAAAAGGCAACTTGAGGGTCTGTTGGGGTCGGTGGAAGATATCCGGTTCGTAGGAGTGCATGGGTGCGATTTTCTGTTTCGTCCCATGGTATGTATTCGATTGAACAGCCATCTGTGGCCTAAGTGAGGAGCTATGATTGGTGCGGGTTGGGTTATAACTCACCAAAGATATCAATGCATTGTATCTCAATCCAGTTGCTTCCTGGTTGAGGTTCTGGGTAGTGGACGGGTACACAGGACGAATTAGAAGTCTTGATTTGTAGGTAGAGGCTAGTAAGAGTGTCGAGTTGCTCCATCCACTGGGCATGGAGCCTAGACATCCGCGTACTCCATTCGTGGCCCTTCCTTCGCCTAGACAGGTATTATTTGCAGTAGTCATCATACCAACCTTAGAAGGAGACTCACGGCTTTGGAGCTAGTCTTGAAATTAATTTACGTAACTGCTCGAAATCAAGCCCTACATCGTCCACCAGATTCAACTCATCTCTCCCCGGCTCATCATACCAATCATCTAAGAAGTCACCCGGCGCAACCCCACCATCTTGAATCTCCGAAAGGCCATCAATAACCACCCGTGGAGTAGCTGCCCAAGGTATGATGAGATCAAGTAAAGTTCAGAGACTTCAATCTTACCTTTCATCAATTGCTCGTGGGCATCACCCACAGTTAGTCGGGCCTTCTTGCGTGCAACTGCCCCGCTCCGAGTAAGGGACAGTGAGTCCGTGGCCCAGTTGGTCAGGATTGTGTTATGCTTGCGCCTTCTTCCCATGCTGCTCCTGTAGAGTAGACTGGAAGGAATGCCATGGAGCGTCAAGAATAAAATTTTTAATGCTTACCACAGGGTTATCACGAATATTGAAATTAGGTGGTTGTCGGAGCTCGCTTAGGAGGCAATAAGTTGGCAGTGGCCAGATAATCTGGAATTGTTGGCTTGCAGTGTGTGTGGGTTGGTTAGAATAGAGATACTAGATAGTCGAGGAGGATTGAACTCACGAGATGTTCAGTGGCAATTCAGTTGAGACAAATCCAATTCAACATCACACTAGCGCCACGCAGCCTTGCACAACATGTTTCGGTTGAGTGACAAAGACAGGCAGGATGGTCAGTACGTGTATAGCCCTGAGTTTTGGAGATGATTGACCTGTGAACAGAACTAAACTATGCCAAATCAAGGGGTACTGCGAAGGACATGTTTCAGAACTATGTCCGAGCAAGCCGTGCAGTATACCGCTTGGATGACAAAGAAATAGGAATTTTTAATCAAAAAATAAGCGAGGCCTACATTCTTGAGTTCTATGTGGCATGGAAAATGAACGGTGAGTAGTCATTCATTCACAAATATGGCCTGAACATGCTCACAGTGATCCAGATACCCTACCAAGGTTTGGGGAACACGTCCCACAAAAGATCGAACAAATTATTCCACGGGAGATTTTCACAAAGGAGATGGCACGTATGGTGATGGAAAGCCTCTTAGCCCCATTGCTGGAAGTGCGCACTCAGATGTGGAGTATCCGAGCGCTGGTGCGTAGTTCTTGATTGTGTGCAAGACTTCAAATCTTACCTACAAAAAAGACTTCTGTCCTGGATCGCTTAGGACACCACAGTTTCGCGTTAATCGATTATGAGGGCTGAAAGGCGCCAATCAACATCATTCTGCCAAAAACCATCGAAGCCGAGGAGGGATGGTCGCAATTGCGGTTGGAGCTCCTGGGCGCTTTCTTAAAGATTCCACAATCTGTTAGTGCACCTGTAATTCAGATGATGGTTCCCCACGCCACTCAGGGTGGGGATGGTACTGCTGCTATACAACACGTAGCTCCCAGTACTCCCAGTGTGGTCTTGGCTCCAACTCGCCCAAGGACAGCCTGTCCTACAACACCATACTCCCCTATTAGCAAAGGCAAGGCGATGGGCGATCGTGGACCCACCTCCAGGTCGAATCTCTCATTCAAGATGCCTGATCCCTCCATGATTACCGCCACACCAATGCCTCCGAGTCCCACAGCAACACTGCGGTCATCGTCTGTTTCATCCAACATATGGGAGAGGTTAGCCAACGAGAGTGCGGACCCCGAGGCAATCGGTGCGCACCTTGCAGAAGTTTCACTTGCATCAAACGTAGAAGTGCCGAAAAGATGTAAGTACTTCTACTAAGTCGTAACAACGCACCATGTTCACTCCTATTCATTCGAAGTCGGGCACAGTCCCTCCTATGCCCCGGCTGCCACGGCCACTGCTCCTGTGGTGTCAGCATTGACCCAAGAAAACGTACAGAGCCTAGAGCAGAGCAGTTCACAGTTGGGCATGACCAACTTGACGGCGACGACTCCATCAAAGGACCCAAGGCATGCGCCACCCATTTCCACATCGCATGCTGGCGAACTCTACGGACATCACGACAAGGATCGAGAGTTTACTGAAATGGACATAAGCGTTATCGTTCTTTTGGCCCAATCCGTAAAATTCAATGAAGTTGAGTATCGCAACACATTGATAAAACGGTTTGATCATTCCCCAAGCGAGGCATACTTGCTCGCAAAGGTGGCAGCAGCGAACCGAAGGTAACTCTATACATTTAATATGTAGCTCTGCCATTCCTGAAAATACACAAAATAAAGTCATTCAGAATTATTATTAAATTCATAAGCGCGGATGTACAAACAGGGGATTTGCTTTTGAATTGAATGGGGGTTGGTTTGTTATTGTTTGTTCAGTTTCCTGTTTGCATTTGACAGTTGCACTCTAAGATGTCAGCCCCTTCACGGCAAGGTAATGTGAGATTCAAAGTTTCGAATCTGAGCAGTGCGACTTACTATGTGCCAATGGTGCTAGCAACTGGGCAGAGAGAAAAGGACCTAGTCAAGGAGGCGTTCAATGAGCGAGTCGCTGCACTGAAAACAAATTTTGAAGCGCAAGTCTCGGCCATTGCACTCGAGTTTTCCCGTCGTGGTCATCACTATTCCCAACGTCAAATTCGAACCCAGGTGATCTACAAGTTGTCGAAGCCAAAGAAGACGCGCAAGCCAATGATTCCCAATGCTTGGGCTCATGCTGAGGCCCAGGCACAATGCCTGAAAGGTAAAAAAAATTGGCTTACAAACAAAGGGAGAGTATGCTTACTATGAAAACTCCAGACGGTAGATTGGCACAGCTGCCTTACAAGAAGGAATATGTTCAGATCCTCGAAGATATCAATGAAAAGAGAATCACGTACCAGGATGTTCAGAACCCGGTGACCTCGACAGAGGAATACAATGCTCAAGTCATCCTGGATGGTGTTATGGTGAAAAGGCAGAATCGTGCGTTGAAGGAAACAATCATCTCACCTGAGCTATCCATGAACTCGATCGCAACTCACGCGCGGGATGAGCTGATAAACATCGTAAGTGACCAGCACTCAAGCAATTGAGGGCCAACTACTTAAAAAGAAATAGGGGAAAATGGCTCACCAGTCATGTGGCATCGAGATCCTCATCATGATGACTCGAGGGCATCGTGATGACTTATTCACACCGGTATTCTGGGCAACAGATAAAGCAAAGAGCTACTGGGGTGCACTGAAAAACATTGATATGGAATGGCATCTTCGCGTTATGGAAGCACATGCAATCGGCATGTTAGAACGTATGTGGCCGAATCTGATCTTGAATTACTCACTAACGCAGGCATAAGCCATGGCCCAAACCTTCAAGACAAAGGCTGTTACCTTACGCCGTGAAGTGGCAGAGGCAACCAGGCTCGGCCTCCGTGAGTGGTGCCATTCAAGTTTTCTCACAGGCGCTTACCGAATATAAAGGCAAGATAACAGAAAAACCTAGATTATCAATGGAGTGGCGGCCTGAGAATTATTTGAGGCTAATGACCAAACACTGTGTTGCGATTGACATGTCCAGTTATCCAGGTGGCACACTGGTCGAACCTAAAAATGCAAATGTTGACCATCTGCGTCAAGTGCTCGATGGATGGAACAAGGGAGACATCAAGTGGGTTGCGTTAACATCAGATCAAGTGGAGAAGAAGTGCGAAGAGCTTGCGTCACTTACCTCGAACAAAGCGAACAACGCCGATGTGACTGCGACACAAGAAAGAATGCCTCAAGCTGAATCGTCGATGTGAGCCTTCTCAATGTCTGAAACGAGCTGAGTCTTGTATGTACAGGTCATGTTCTAGCGCGAGGGAGTGTAGAAATGGAGAGGGAGAGGTGGGGATGTCTGAGAATGCCGCAGTGGCGTAAGTACATGAACAAAAGAAGAAAGATTGATCCTTACAATATTCTAGATCTGTGGCTTCGGCTACGACCCCAACACCTCCTCAACCCAACGCCACCCAATTCTCAGCAGTGACGAACGATCAAGTGAAGACCACCAGGTAAGCCCTTGATATGGGGCTGAAACCGCTGATTGAGCAAAACCAGTCGAGGTTCCAAACGTAAAGCGACCCAGACGTCGAAACCATGGAAGAGGAGACAGCGTGCACCAGCTAGCGCTGAGAACGAGGGCTTGCTGAGCTAGTGGTGCGGGGTGATGTAAAGTTTTTCCTTGCCACGTGTCCCTCATACCATTGATCAGTGCCTCACATATTCTACTGTTGTTCAATGGTTGGAGTCACACCAAAAAGGCAACTTACTCCTTTGCTGCACATGATTTCTAATGTGGCAAGTACGTACAAACCTCAGTTCTATTATACCAAGCGGTGAGCGTTGAGTGTAAGGCCCGCATCAAGTCTATTATATTGAGCATGCAACAAAAAAGATGGCAGTAGGACTGATGTGAACCCAACGACTGCCAACAAACTGGAGTGGAGCGGGAAGAGAATTAGACTTAGACGACGATGACGATGACAAAAATAATGAATAGTATTGAGATTGATACATGGCGTGAGCAGAGGAGACAATAATGCTGTAAAGACATAAGCAGAAAAAGGAACGAAGAAACAATGGGCAAAACTGGTGAAGATTGACTTCGACGATGTTGACGATGGTGACGGCAATGACAACGCATCGGAAGACGATGCCGGCAATAGAACCGCGCCGAAGTGCTGGTGAAAATGTATTGTAATTGAAAACTCAGTCACGGGCACCCCAGAGCTTCTGGGGCCCTTCGGGCCCCTCCGAAATCTTATTTTCCGAATCATATTTTCCTTCGTGCACCAGTGCACCAGTGCATGCACTCAGACGGTTGATTGCTATCTAAGAAGGTAGGTAGGGTGTGGGCACCCTTGATACCATTTTATATTGATTGGGTCACGAGTAGTAGGTGAAAAATGTAGTAGGGCCAATCCAAACCCTGAAGCGGGGAAGGAGCTCCGAATAGTGAATACATTTGGATGTTGCTTAGTACTCCTTCCATCTGACAGATGGTCATCCCTGTGCCAACTTTGGAGGCGACCACCACATCCAGAAATACGCTTTCAGAAGAAGTGAGGGGGTCATCAAGTCTAGGCCGGGTCGATACCCGCCAAGAACAGCTCGAAAAGTTTCGAACGATTTTCCATCCTGTAGCAAGAACCCATCCAGCGATCAGCGTTGCTTTCCTTAACCAAGATGAATAAATCTTACATGAGGCAGAAAGTTCATAAGGGTCATCCAGTGATTCCGGAATCCCGCCCCGAACTCTAACGTCTCCCCCGCTTGAGGAATAGTAGTATCGTATCCGTAGTCCAACATACGGTTGGTATCGAACATGCGCCTGTCTATCGTAAGAGCACGCTTGAAGTAGGATTGGGAAAGGTGAGATGGCAATTGAGGCTTCGTCATTGGTGGTTTGAGCGCATTGTGCAGGATTGTGTTGAGGATGACACTGTTAGTCAGGACTTTGATGACACCTTGTCCGAAAACCGGATTTACGCCTGTGCAGAGGCATCAGAACGCACAGGTAACGGATATTCTAGGTCTCACACATCAGCGCATCGCCAACGGCGATAAAATTATTTGGAACTGGCTTCGAAGCATAATCGTTCCAAAAACAACTGTTCTGTGCGTCCAGGTCAACGTCAGTTAAGTTCCAAGTCCTTCCTGACTTTACCAGATTGAAGTTGTCCCACTTGATCGGCTCATCGAGTATGTTAGCGTCCTCGGAAGCCACCTGGATGATCCTAAAGAACCATTCGTCCCTGATGTATTCATCTTTGGAGAATACATTGGAATATAATTGTCGAGTCAATTCGATGTATTCTGCAAACGTCTCGGGGCATGTGTCGATTCCCCATCCAGAATACCCAATGAGCACTGAACATAAATACGGGGCTAACTGGTCATTAGTTTTAGACTCACATTCATCTCCGTTGATTCTCGAGTATCCCCAAAGACTTCGGCCAGTCGCTGACGTTGGTGTGAAGGCACCCAAGACTCCACAAGTATCCCATCTTCCAAAGTCAACATGATTCTTAGGAAGCATCCTTGCCACTTTCCTTTGGGTTTCTGGCAATAGTTTTATGGAAGTACTATAGTACCTGACGTTCGGATTATATGAAATACGTTCATATGGACCCCATTTTTTCGAAGCCAGGGGTAATAATTTGCTCCCTATAGATGCAGAACCGGAACAATCCACGAAGAGTGCGCATGGGATCGTAGTTGTTGATGTCACTGAGGCTGGGCGGTAAGAAACCGAAGAAATTGTGGCATTATCGGTCGAGCTCTCAACGCTAGTTACGGTCCCTTGGATAACTTGAAGCTTCTCACCGCAGTATGCGATGGCCAAACGTCTGCAGAGAGATTCAAGGCTGGAATACATAGTCATTCAGCATCAAATTTCACAATACGTCATTGTTCACTCACGAGAGTCGTGAGGCTGAGATTTGGTCCGGCCTGTGAACGTCAAGGTCACCAAAGTACGACGGTCCTGCCCACCACCTCCTAAATCCGGAAAGTATGTAAACGTCGTCTTTGGGAGCTTCTTTGTCGAAGTTTGAGAACAGTTCGCGAAGTATGGGCAGGCAGATTGGGCCGATGGAGTGGAAATGGGCACGTTGTGAAACTCTTCCTCGGAGGCTGATGGCAATTTCAGGCTCAATTATAACAACGGCTTCGAAGTAATTGGCCAGAACCCTGGCAGAAATGTAGCCCGATAAGCTAGAAGGCGTTGATAAGCCAAAAATGAGGGTGGGTGCCCAAGCGGAGCCACCGTACCTTCCCCCAGCCACAACTGCCGTACCTGATATTGTCCCAATTGGGGGCGGGTAAGAATTGGCCAGCAATTCGATGTCACTGAGGATCATCTTCGACTTGATGTAACTTCGACGAAGGAAGAACCACGATGCTCTGTACACGATATAAATCGCCACCGCAGCCCATAAAACTTTACTGGCCATCGAGTCTGCGGAGTAAACCTAAACCGAACCCCCAGGGCGTGATGCAAAGGTCATGTGCAGCAACACGTGAGTGCATCGCCCCGAAAAAAAAAAAAGTTGTTTATCCCCCAACTTTGCCTCCGCAAATTTCAATTCTATACTAGGACCCAACTTTCTCGAAATGGACGGAAAATCCTGCTCACACTGCAAAAAAACCCGACCTCTTGATGATTTTCGGCTCAGTCGTCATGGCTTGTCCTCCACCTGTGCCCCATGTCTTGATATGCAGCATGCCCGATGCCAGTCCAAAAAAGAAAAAGATTTGTTGAGCTCTCTCGAAAATCTGTCAACCCTTCGTGGGTTCTATGCTAAGCTTGAAGCCAATAAAGCCGAGGAAATTCACACCCACACTATCCTTTTCCACGAAAAGGGTAGCTCTCAATTTATCCAAATTGCCAGACCGGGCAATGATGACATCTTGGACATGTTGCCTATAAAGCTGAGGTGGATATTATTGGTTCCCAGTGCAGTGAGATACTTGGCTACTGGTGGAGGTATGTATGATTGATTTCCTCCACTTCCTTTTTTTTATTGAAAGAGCTGAATGAACACATTGGGCTTCATGACACCAAGAAGTGTATTGGAAAGACAGGAGAGCGATCTGCTCTGCTTTTTTGGTACTGGTGTGCCCAGGATTGCCAAATGCCACTAAATATTGACCTGTTTGACCACTCTTATCCCCATGGGAATTCATTCAATAATGGGGTATGGATGTCTCCCAAAACGGGTGCTTAATGAATGCATGCATTGCTCAATGCCCTCTACCTGTACCAAATTTAATTCAGTCTTTCCCCTATTAGAATTGATTCTGAGTTTACAGAATGGGCTTCCAATTGTTGATTGTGAAGGTGTCAGGGACAGCTCCGAAAGCGGCGAGGTCCCGGCGCGAGGGACTTGATGGGACAGATGTCGGCTATGCGTAGCGGCGGTCCTGTTGCGGGGTGAGCGTTCCCGACCACTTAGTCTGAAGTGGGAAGTTGTATTATCATTAAAAGGGGAAGCTACAGTACTTACCTGAAGTGGGAAGTTGAGAAGAAGGCTGCTTCTTCTGTTCCCACCCCAGGTGCTATTATATACATGCGGCTGAGGTCATGTGGGAGGAGCCACGTCATCCCCGCACACAGCCGCACTCCCCTGGGTATCTCCGTGGGAGATCCCGGAGGTGTGCCGCTCTGTGAGCGGGAATGCGCGCGGCGGGCGCGGCGATCGGGGGAGTGGGGTTAAGTGTGTAGTAATACATAGAGAAGGGGAAGTCGACCGTGGAACGGAAATAGAAAAGAAAGAAAGAAAAGGGGAAAGGAGACACAGGGAGTGATAGCGGGGGAGCGGAGTAGGGCGGCGCGGCACGGGGTCAGGTGTGTGCCCTGACAGAAGGCCCCAATTCCCATCCATGAAACACCTGCCAATTGAGGCCATTAGACCCGGTGTAACTGTCCATTAGACTGTATACACACCCTTGCTCAGTGCACCATAGCTATTGCATATTATTTGAGCCTCACTGATAGATAATGTTAATGTATTACATTAGCCACCCAGCACTCATCTTGAGTTGAGTACAACTGCAACCCTGTTTCACCTCAATATCAGCTATAATATTCATGACATGGATGTGTTGTGTTAGAACTGGGCAAGAGTGGATGATTCTGGAGTGGAACCAGAGACTTAGCAAGGAGGGACTTTTAAAGATAAAAAGGCTATGACGCATAAAATTCTCAGACTCATACAAGAGTTCTAGAATTGAATTGTACCTATGATGCATAAAATTCTGCATCAACATGCACATAGTTAGAAAGGTGTCGATAATAATAAAGCTATAGCTCTCACCTCAGACTCGTACAAGAGTTCTGAGGGAGAGGATCTACATGTCAGGGGACGACTCCTGGGTCCCCATGACCCTCCCCTATGGTCCACAGCCTACTGGTGTAACCAGCCCTATCCAGGGTACAACCTACTGTGGGTAAGGAGATGAGAAGGAAGCTAACTTCTCATCTTCCCACAGTGGCCACAATATCAGCAAAACTTCCGGGGATACCCGGAAGTCACATGAAGGGGTAGGAACCGGGCCCGGAGCATGCGGCACGCGGAGTGTGCACGTGTGTGGGAAGCATGGCGGGTGGAAGCGGGTCCGGACGCGGGTCCGGGTCCGGGCTAGTCAGGGTGTGTGCCCTGACACTACAGAGAGAGCGCTCTTTATACACGAGCCATGTCTCTGACATGTCTCACTGCATAAAGAGCGCACAGAGAGCAAACAGAGAGACTGAGACAAGACCCTCAAAACTCATTCCGCCATCAGTGGTGAGTTATCGATCATGTCTCGGTGTTTGTAGCAACCCCAAAAAGAAAAATCAAATCTCACATTACTTGGACACTGGGACTAGTTGTTGAAATTCCAACACACCCTCTCAATGATGGTTCCCATCGACAATCCCCATGGCCTTCACAAATTTGTCGTGTTTTTCAAATGAAAGGCCCTTTGTGAGGATGTCGGCTATTTGGTCGGCAGTTGGGATGTACATACTCGAGTGTGACATCGCCATTGTAAATGCAATCATGGATGAAGTGCTGCTGGATGTGAATATGCTTAGTGCATGCATGAAAAGCTGGGTTCACAGCCAGCGCAAGTGTGCCCTGATTATCACCAAGTATAGTGGTGGGAATGGAAGGAGGTCAGAGGACATCACCAATGAATTCCTGCATCCAAATGGCTTCTTTTGCTGCATGTGTCAGTGCCATGTACTCTCCTTCCATGCTCGACAATGCAGTGGAGGGTTGTTTCTTCGAACTCCATGATACAGCTCCACCAGCCACCTTGAATACATAGCCAGAGATAGATTTGTGGTTGTGAGAGTCTCCAGCCCAATCAGAGTCCAAGTAAGCGGTAAAATCACCTTTGCGAGTTCCCCCATTGTATATTAGCTTGTAATCCTTTGTTGAGTTGAGGTATTTGAGGACTCGGTTCACAGTGTTGAGATGATCCTTGCCCGGATTTGCAGAATATTGACTAAGCGCACCTATGGCATAAGCGATATCAGGGCGTGTTCCCAGCATAGCATACATAATGCTTCTGATGCGGGACTGGTAGTTGCAGGCATTGACTTCAGGGACATCCAATCGAGGCAGTTTGAAGTTAACTGCAATGGGTGTTGAAATCGGACAAGAGTTAGTGAGACCAAAATGTTCGACAATGTTGGTTACATAGCATGCTTGGGAGATAAAAATTAGGCACCTCACATGATCACAAGTGATTTCAATTCCCAAGAACCAATGGATAGGGCCAAGGTCTTTCATCTTGAAGGTGTCCTTTAGCTCTTCCTTGGATTTGAGTAACTGGACATCATTGCACAAGATCATCAAGTTGTCCACATAAAGGGCAATAATACAGAACTTCTTGTTCTGCCCCCTGTGAATGAACACAGCATGGTCCAAATTGCAGTGAGTAAATCCAAGTCATCCAAATTCCTCTTTGACCTTCTGGTACCAGGCCCTTGATGCCTGTTTCAGTCCGTAAAGGCTTTTCCCTAACTTCCACACAATGTCTTTGTTTCCATGATCAGCACTTCCTGGTGGCAGTTCCATATAAATGGTATGTTCCAAGTCGCCATTCAAGAAAGCGGTTTTGATGTCCATTTGGTCTATTTCCAGATCAAGACATGCACCAATCATGAGGAGAATGTGAATTGACGCCCACTTGACAACAGGCACAAAGGTTTCCTCATAGTCCACTTGGTAGATTTGGCTAAAACCTTTGGCCACGACTCTTGCCTTGTAGTGCTCTATTGAACCATCTGGCCCTCACTTCAAGGCAAATACCCACCTACATCCAACGATGTTTCCAGATCCGACATCCTCCACACTAGCCAGACTGTATGTCCGCATTTCCCTGAGGGAGAGTAGTTCGTCCTGGCATGCCTCAAGCCAGGAATCTGCATTAGGTCGGTCGAGGGCATCATCATAGGTGCATGGTATATCTTCATGGGCCATGTAAGTGTGGTTTTTGCCCTCCTGCTGGGTGTTTACAGGTCCGGATTGCTGATTATTTCAAGTGTAGGAGTGTCAGGGGACGACTCCCGGGTCCCCATGACCCTCCCCTATGGTCCACAGCCTGACCTATGAACAGCCCTATCCAGGGCAGCAACTCTACTGTGGGTAAGGAGATGATATAAAACAAGGGCAAGTATATACACTTGCCTACTGTGGGTAAGGAGATGAGAAGGAAGCTAACTTCTCATCTTCCCACAGTGGCCACAATATCAGGAAAACTTCCGGGGATACCCGGAAGTCACATGAAGGGGTAGAAACCGGGTCCGGAGCATGCGGCGCGCGGAGCGTGCGTGCATGCGGGAAGTGCAGCGGGTGGAAGTGGGTCTGGACATGGGTCCGGGTCCGGGCTAGTCAGGGTGTGTGCCCTGACAAGGAGCTGATGAAATATCGTTCATTGTCATCTCGTGTCTGAGGTCGCTGCACTTGTCCAGATCATCATGGTTCATCTGGTATCGCCTCTTCTACTGCATCATTGCCCATCCCTTCTTTGATCCTCCCCTCTGTCCCTTCGATAACCTCATTCTCATCATTCTCCATGATGCCCATCGCACTTCCTTCTACCTTCTGGTCTTCGATTTTGTCACCTTTGGTGTTCTGAACCACATGTGATTGTGATTCAACATCAGGTACTTCAATGGTGATGCGTTCCGATTCAGGGGACCCTTCGAAGAAATGAACATCTCATGATTCATGGACCTTGTTAGAACATGCAGATTTGGATGACTCTGGAGTGGAATTGGAGACTTAGCATGGAAGGACCTTGGCCTCAGCGACTCAGGCAGAGCGCTGTGCCATTGCTGGTTGTCCTAGGGGTCCCTAATTTCGGATCTAGCAGAGGGAAAGTCTCTTGGGGGGAATTCAGGTTGATTTCGGACTGAGGTTACAAGTTACTAGGTACATTGTATATAAGGAGGGGTCTGGAATCAAAAGGAACAAGGGTAGGACAAAAGGAGACAAAGGAAGATGGAAAGAGGAACAA